TGAAGCGTTGGGACTTTTCCGAGATTTAATACCCTAAAAACCACAAGAACCCCAACCAAGGAAACCCAGGTGCTGCTTGCTTACATGCACCCGTTTCACCTTAAGAAATCCACCCCAAGAAGCCAAATATTCATTCATGAAATCTAGCTTATTTTTTCATCGGCAAGGACATTTTTTGCTTTGAACGAGAGAAACAGGGACTACGTTTGAACAAACCCAAAGTTCGTGCGAATTAAAACTAGGATTATGTGAATTCGAATTATGCGAAATTGTTGCATTGCATTTGCATAATTTGAAATTAGCAAAATCCCTTTATGCGATATCGGTGTTATGCAAAATAAATTATGCAAATCTACCAGAAGAATGTACCCGCCACCGTTGCCTGTCTACCAATTACGCTCGTTCAACTTATCCAATCGGCGTGAAATTTCACAGAAACGTTGAATATACAAATTAGGAAGCAATTTGAAAGATGAATAAAACGTGTGGGAAAATGAAAAAGTTATCGTGGTCGTATAAATCCACCTCAATTTTAAGTAACAATCTGACTCGGGGAAATTTTGACAGTCGAAACTATGTTCTAACAAATAAGCATTTTACCATGTAATTTGTGTTTTCATACAAGTAACAAGTATCCTGTTAATATTTATTGCTCCAAGTTGGAAACATGAAATTCTTAGTGACTTTTTACTCGAACGAAAAATATAACGTTTGACATGTTCACAAAAAAGGGGCAGAGTTTTAGATAAATTGCACAATATAGTAGCAATTAGAACGTAAAAGACGAAAAAGACGAAGCACTTAGAAGTAAAAAACGTAAAATTGTGTGTAGATAAAATCGTATCGACGGACCTTTTTTTTTTTTTTAGGGGGTACGGTCCAAATATGTCGTCACACTGGATGAGGCACTCCTATTCGTTGAAGACTGCAACAGGTCAAAAGAAATTTGTTCCACAAAGGACCGGAAACGAGCATCAAAGTATGTGTCCCAGAAAAAAGAAAAGTTCTCTGATCGATTCATGGTGGTTGGTGCAATGACGGTCCGTGGGGTGACAAAATTAATACTTGTCAGGTCAAATGCTAAAATTATCTTCAAGTAATATGTGGACAATGTTTTACGTTTTAAGTTGTTAGAAGTGGAAATTCCAAAGAAGTACCCTGGGGAGTTGGACAAAGTTTTCATCCATCACGACGCAGCATCGTCACATACTGCTAACTAAACCCAGCAGTACGCCCAAGATTTAAAGGCAAGAACCGGAATGACTTTGATATCTAACTCAGAAATCCCTATTAAGTCACCTGACACCAATCCGATGGATTTTTTTGGACTTGGATACCTGAAACAGAGGCTTTTTAAGAGGAAGGCATCAACTTTGGCTAGTCTTCGGAAACCGCTTTCACGGACTCGTCCACTTTGGAGTCAAATATGCGCCGTATTTTTACATGTGGAAATCTGAAACTTGGCACATGTGTTGCTGTGAACTTCGAAATTATGTGTGCCCAATTTGGCGCAAATTGAATCATGCGTTCGCATGCTACCCACGAAATTGTCTTGTTCACGTAATCTACGGACAACCTCTGTACTCAGTAGATTCGTTGATGGATACATATGATAGATAAAATTAAGATGTGTGTAGGAAAATATAACGCCGCAAAATGGGTCGCAGTTTTTTATAGAAATTCCCAGGGCCGGGCCTGACTCGCTTAGGCTCTACTGTTACATATGTCTTGAAAGTTGAAATATTTTGTAAATATGAAATATAATGTAAATACGAATAGAAACCAAGTTGATATATAGCTTCTAACAGGAATTTTCTGTAATGAATGTAATTAGAAAAGTTTCCCGAAATAATTGGTCGTGTTGCATGTGCGGGCGGACTTATGAAAATATTATAGAACATGAAGAGGAAAAAATGCATGGAGATTATTTCATGCATTTATTCCAAATTTGTGTTGGTCAATGCTGAAAAGTTCACACCGGCTAGTAATTCGTGTTTTTTTGCTTGAAAATTCGAGAACTTAAGTGAGAAGCACACTCTTAAAAATAATGCTACCGTTTAGTAAAGTACTAGTACTCCAAATCCTAAGTTAAATAAACAGTTACAGCGCATGTAACCAAAAGTGATGCGTCAAAAAGAACTTCGAAATTATTTAACGCCATTTGGAAACTGCACAACCATAGTAATGATGCCAGAGAGTGGGGCAATTACAGTTTCAAAATTAAGCGAGAATCCAATCGTTTTTACAAATAATAAGTTCACAGATCTCGCGAAGCTTGAAATGATATTTTCCGTCCAAAGACGACGGAATCCTTCAAAACATTGCTGGGCATCGTTTGCAATATACCCAGAATCTAATTACATGACAAAATACCTGCAATATGGAAACAATCATGTAGCCAGAAGGCGAACTGTGCAGCATCAATATCTGGTGTTGCTAACAAGTTTTAAATCCAGCGTTAAAAAATCAGTTGAAAAGAAATTGACGATGTTCCGACTTGAAATCGTACTTGGTGACATAACTAGTTATGTTGATGGTATTGTAAGACAAGTTCTACACGAGTATTACAATTCAAATCATGATGCAAATATTGTAACCGGCGATGGAAGTCCCTCGAAACCTTGGTATCGATTGGAATGTTTTATGCGTGAAGGAGCTGATTGCTTCGACAGGCTAGAAAGCATTGCAAGAGTTACAGCAGATCTAAACAAATACTTCTGGCAAACGAGACCAAGAATTAATTTGGGCCGTTCAATAATTTGTCATACAATAAAATCCCGTCAAATATATAAAGTGCTGGCAGATTCAGGAACGTTTGCTGAATTTATTGTGCATTTGTTATGGGACGATAATTGCCACAATGCTTCCGGCAACCGATTCCTAACCCCCTTCGTTGAAAACATTGTAAGACACAACATCCGTTCGACGCCAATTATAGAAAGCGTGAGGACCTATGGTTTCATCTCTTTTTATATGGTAAAGCGAGATACGTTAATCCTCAGCGCATTCTCAGATCCTTTTGATGTACAAACCTGGATTGCTCTATGCCTAGTGTTCACACTTTTTGTTACCATGCTGACGATACTGTCAGGTTAGATGAGTTCATTCGGAATGTTATTTATAACTGGAATATGTCTCGAAAATTCCGTGTTGGATGGACAAAATTGTATTTCGGTCCCGATTTCGAGAAAAATCCGACGTCCCCGGCGTTCGGTTGGTCATTGGGACTTGGATTTTATTTACTGGAACTACGCTAGCCAACTGGTATAAGACATCATTCACAATGGAGATGATTTTACCAGTCAAATACGACCCACCGTGGGAAACATTTCTTGATATTGACGGGGCCCAAGTTCTCATGCCGTTCGACCTATCAAACTGGTTTATATGCTACCGCCTACTTTGTAAAATTCCAGTACTTGAGTTTTTTTAGCAAAGTAGTTTCTGCGATCCTTTGACAGAATATCATGGTAACCATCGTCCATTTATCGGATTTACGCGCTTGGCTCGACTATCAATAGACGTAAAAGCTCCGGTCCCTGTAGTTTGTCCACAATAAGTGTGCATGGGGCTGCGTTTAAGGCCTAGAAAGAGCAGATGTACTTAACGTATCACAGCAAAAATCTCCATTAAAACCAATTGATTATAATGAAAAAGATAGACTATTGCGAGCACTATTGTCTTGCAGGAAAGTAGCGTTTCTAGACACTACAGAAAATGTTGGTACGATACTCCCATTTCTGAATGACAATCAAATCAACGTAAAGTATCTTAGTGGAGAGGATTCGTTTTTTAGAACAATTCGTGGATGGGCAATATTTCCTAATCCTGGAAATTATATCGAGAAGCGTATCAAGATTATGCTGTCGTCTGGAATACACTTCAAGTGGGAATCTTTGTTTCGATTATTTAAACCTCCCAAATTGTTTCCTTACTATGAAAATTGGCGTCCAAGATTCAGTAGGGCATCACAATTACACCACAATTCGAAGATTCTGGCCGGCTTCTATGCTTGTGGGGTTTGTTTAGCAGGTTGTGTACTGTGTTTGATGCTGGAAGCATCGAGTGGGTCGATTGTCAAAGCAATAACGAAATTACAGCTAATCTTGATCTCCATTTAAGTACCCCGACGCCTAACGAAACAGTTGCGTATCAAAAATTAGTATTTAAGTACTTTTGGTTCTCGTTATTGAATTAAATGCAGAATCGCGATTTGTTAAAAAATGGGTTACCGCAGTGGAAAACGAACTCACCACCTCCCATTATCATATACATTCAATGTATTCAAGCTGGTATGTAACATTACACTTATAATAATGTATGTATGTTTGCTACTCTTACAAAAAAAGTGATTTCTTAAAGACCATAAAAATTTTATTACAATTTTAGAATTGAAGTGAAATTATAATTTGGACAAGCAAGGAATTCATAAACAAGATATGCATCCATGCGGCTTGTCCTCAGAGATTACAGAGATTGTAACGCTAGTATCTACATGTCAAACATCTGGGTCTGTTTGACTTTGGGACAAGAGTTCGGATTTGGTGTCTCATGCTTCAAATTTTGCAATTGTTGCTGAAATGATGCATTTCACATACATGAGTGCACAAATTGGTTAACTCGTCGTAAATATTAAGTTCGCACTCATTTGTACTATGAGATATCCACGATAATCATTCAGGTTTTCAGCCACACCTCCATGGAACGGACAATTTTAGGAACCCATGGCATTTCTTTACTCAATAATTTGATTGGTTAAATATAATTACAATATTTTAAACAAATACAATGCAAGTGAACCTATAATCACGTGTAGTTGCAACCTTTGGAAAAAATTCATGCTAATTTTAAAGGAATTTTCTGGAATGTTCCACACACCGCGAAGTCATGTTTATGCCAGGTCTGAATCTGTACCAACTGTCTAAATTCTTCACTGTCTTCCTAACAATATAGTTCCTTCCGTTGCTCAACTTCTCACAGAGTTGGCACCACCCATACGATCAGGCAACCTTGTAGTGTTTCCTCCACCAGAAATATTTGACGTATTCTTCCTCATTCCCGTCCAGAAATTTGAGATAATAAAATACGACCGGAATCAAGGTAAGATTCATCGCTCGGAAGAATTTTTCGCTGACATATTCATCGCACAGGGAATTCTCGAAGGCCAAATAGAACTTGTACGTGTTGCTGATTCCTGTGAAACAGCTGTCTTCCGAAGTAATGCCGGGTGGGCAAGATTTAGTCCCGCATCCACCAAATATGTCGATATTAAGGAAACGTTTCAGTTTAGCGACCAAATATTCCCGCTTGCTGGGAGTATCACAATGGGAGACGACCAAGGCGGCGAGTTTAGCTTTCTTGCGGGTCAAATTAATCCAGGTCTGGTATTCCTCGTTAATTAAGGAGATGGGAAATTTGATATTCGTTTTAGGTATTACTCTCATATAGCTGTGTATCACGTCAGCGTCGGATCGGTAGGTCATGGTCCAGTTGAAGAGGTTATTGTAAAGGGTAAAATTCGTCCACGTGTTGAAGGGAGATTCTCGGTTTAGATAGACCCAGACTTGGTTGGCGCGCCGGATAGGGGGCAAATCAGACCTGAGTAAATTAAGGATATTTTAAGCAGTATTTACCGATTAGTAACCAATTTTCTCCCAGCTGAATTGTCTCCTATTTGATGTAGAATAGTTGGTGCTTTAGTTTTATAAAACGGCTTTAAATACTTCCCATATACACTTGGAGAAATCCAGTAGTAAAATCATACCATGCGGAATTCATACATTCTTGAAAATAATGCTACACTTTTGAAATAGTAATACCATCTATATTCTGCACAAGTATATGACTCAACTATGGGTCAGTAATACCGTGTAGTAATTGCTCGGAATTAAAGTTTCGTCACTTCAGTAGTAAATTTTTACGGACTAATTAATAGTATTTTAATACCAAACCGGAGCAACTTTAATACCGAAAAATCAGTACCTTCCTAACTATTCGAGATTTAGAAATATAAATAAATTTTCTATTGCTTACAAGTTGAGCCCCGCTGAATGAAAAACAAGCCCCGATGCGGCAGCCAAACGGTGCCATTAATTACTTCCAGACCAAATTGATATTAAATCAGCTACAAATGCTAAAAGTTCTCAGAGACCGTCCTGGTAAACCATAGGAAACATGGACTGGATTTAAACCAAATTCGTGAGAAATGTTATCTTAATCCCAATCTGGGATTAAAATGTGATTGAATTAATCTAATCCCAAATCCTACTAAATAATGCGAGATATTTAATCCAATATTAATCGTAATCCCTAGCGTAATTTAATTTATAATCTCAGTCTTCAATCGCGAAATCTTTGAAATTAATCCGTAATTCATTAAATCCTAATTTCATTAATCCTCATTAATATTATATTCGTTTTTCCATCTAAAAAAACTTACAACGGACACTTCGAGGTGCCCCTCGTCCCCACGATACCCATTATGTTCTTTAGAATCTAGGACCCTAGATGATGAATCCATTCATATTTCCGAGTAAAACTAATATTTGGCGCCATGGCGTGTCGCCAAATTCACCAAATTTGTATGTTTTTATTTTTAAAACCGCCATAACTTTTGAAATCCTGGGCCGATTTAAAAAAAAATCCAAAAATCATTAAAAAGAGTTCAACTTTCGTATGCCATGAAATTTTTCAAAAAATTTATTGTTCCAATTTTTGTCAAACTTTTGTAATTTTCTTGCCCTTGCCAAGGGTCACCCTTGGGGATTCGCTAAAAAAATATCAAAAAATAAAAATGTTTCGTTTTTTAGTTATTTCATAAAATTCTGACCTTTGTGATCATTTTAAGCCCTAAATTTTGAAAATCACACGGAAACTGGAAAAGTTATGGAGGTTTGAAATTGGTCGAAAACGCTGCTTTTTAAGTTTGGCGCCAAATATGCGATTAACACGTAAATATGAATGGATCCTTCGTTTGGTGCCTTGGTAGATTCTAAAAGATATAGTGGGTACCCTGGACACGATAAGCAGTCGGGAACCTTCCCTTGTGAGAGCGGTAGCAACTTTACTAGCGGGAAATAAATACCTCCGGAATTTAACATTCCACTTAAAAAATTTAAAATTTTGAAAAAGTCAAATGGTTGGTAGGCTACATAATTTTGTCGGAGTAAAGTAAATGTGTAAAAACATCCATACAACGAGGAAACATTTACGTACTTATAAATCATAAGTTATAAGTAACTTATCCAATTTACGAGACCGGGATAAGGCGAGCTCCAGCGTGTAAACATTTTCATTCGTACATAAGTATATCGCGATATATCGGTGATGATACATATGTAGTTTTCGGAGCGACAAAGCCTTGAGAATTTTTAAATCAATAATCGTTTCCGGTTTAACAATGGGATCGAGTAAAATTCTTTAAAATATTATTAATGAAAATCACGACGCTCTCAAAAATGTGTTGGATGTGAGAATTTAGTAAATTATCTAGTCGTATTTGACAATGTGGTAGAATGTTAGTTTAATGCAGAGTTTAAGAAATCTTTACCATTTAACTAGAAACTTGGATAATGTTGCCGTGTTATTAACATATTTTTCGTGGTAAGCGTTTTCTTTATTAGGCTAAACAATTAATAAAATACACAACTTTGCTAAAGGTGGTTCAGACTTTGGAACATTTTGGCTAATTTTGTGTAGGTATATTAAAAAGCATAAAATATCTTTGTATAACTATCCTCGTATAAATCCGAGTAAAATTTGATTTATGGGAAGGGTTTGAACGAGTGAAATCAGGGATATTTTTGTGTTTTTGGCAGATTTTGGTGTCTGGCGCAAGCATGATAATGGTATTACAACGCATTGGGCCTTTTCTTCGATCCTGTGATTTCAAAATCTACGAGGGGCGTGTAGAGAAATTCCCTTGTTTTAATAATTTCCAACCGTTGTGGCTCCAATTCAAGGCAGAAAAAACTTCAAAATCTCAACTTAATCCCAAAAAGACGCGTCTGGTGAATTTGTCATTTTCATAATGCGATGGACATCACCATCAATGAAATATGAAGCGTGAGGAATCGATCCCTCCAATAATTCTGCGTTGTCCTCAGACCTGTCAGTTTTGACGAGTCGGGCATCCCGAATTGTGTGGTCGCAACGATGCAATCGGTCCCCTAATCTGGCTACGTGCTGGAACAGGGTGAGGTTCGGAAATATCCGGGTAAATCTGGTCACGTGGACGGACTCGCAATCTTCCGTTGTAAAGGAAATACTTAAAGTTTTGATTTGCGGTATTTCCAGGCCTTTTCCATGCTTATCGAGGTCTGGGATAAGATACTCCCAAAAATCGGGGACAACTGAGGAGCTGACCAGGATTTGGAGCTGGGTCAAAAGTGGCATGCGAATTTTGAACTTGTTGGACTGCATCCAAGGCGGTAAGGTCACATATCAATAACTCTTGTACTACAAGAGTTTTAAGATTCTAGTTGGAAGTGTCCAATTGGATTTTATCCGTTTGATTCTTCCTTCAAAGGACTATATCCGGACTTTATCCGGTCAAAAATGAACTTGTATTGAATTTCTAAACTTTGCCAAAGTTCCAAAAATAAGTAAGTGGATAACTGCTGACTTTTGTAAATACTGAAGTGTACGACTTTCAAGCTAGGCAGCTGAATTGGATCGATACCAGTGTGTATCCACAAAGAAACTTTTCACAAAGAGAAAAAAACCCGGATTCGGATAAGAACCTCCTGCGTGTCGGTTAAAGCAGGTTAAACGCACTTAGGAATTACTGGACTACTAAATACTGAATATTAGTGGAATACTGATAACTTCGATAATGCAATAATATGTTTTAATAAATCATCATGCAGCAAATTATTACTAAAAGCTAATATTATTATGTTTTTCTCAATTACTACGTATGAAATTACTTACTAAAACTTTATTTACAAAATTTCAAAGCAAATACAAATTTAAATATCGGGTTAAGTTTATGACCGCAAATTCTCATACTGATTTTTTAGGAATCCATGAATCTTATTGTACCAGTGAACCACTCGGTCAACATGGTTTTTCCAGTAGCGATATTTCTCCCCGTCTGACAGATCAGAATACTTTTTCCCGTTCTCTGCTTGCAAATCGGCGAGAAATTGCAATTCTTCTGGCGACGGAGTTTCCTCCTGTGGCCGAGTTCGAACCTCGTCCTGCTTAATTTCCTTTAAATTAAAGTGGTCTTAATAATTTGCGGTTATGGAATTTAGCAATCTTTGACTTTAATTGCTGCATCAAATTGTACAAGAATGTCTGCTTGGCTGTTCGAGAGACACGAATTTTTTACAAACTATATTTAGTACTCATTTCTTAATGGACTTGAAAACGTGTCCGTAATTCTGTGGAGAATATTGGTGCCCACAGAATTATGAATCGGTTTCTAATTCTAATGAGGACTAAACATCGTTTTGAAAAATCCGTTTTTGCACTCGCATCGTTAATAGCAATATTTAAAAATATACCTGATCCTCATTGTCGTCTAAAGGTACACCCTTAGCCACAATTATCGTAATTAAGAGAAGAACTAGAATTTTCACCATTTTGTGAAATGACTGAATGAACAGAGCTCAATACTGGATCAAATTATGTAAAATTAACGTGTGTCCTGATGGTTTTTTGTAATGTGACTCTAAATAATCTGGCAATAGATGAAGTCAAATATAGTCGTCGGCCCGATAATATATAGACTTTTCTAACATATTAGCATATGGTAATTAAAATATGACCAAAGTGGTTATACATATGTAACTTGTATCCGTTAAATGTCACTAATTACCAGCCAATCAACAGTAACATTTTGATTACCATTCTGTAAAAAGTCTGTCTATTAGTAGCCCGGTGACAATATATAACTTTATAAATTACCAGATTCTTTAATGTGTGTTAAACCTCATCCTGTTGTTACCAACGGATGACGGAAAAGAGGAAGAGCTGTGGTTATTTATAAGCTCATATCCTTAAGTATGACATACATATGTACACTCTTAGCAACTTGGTAATAAAAAAAATCAGCGGAGTAGATATATGACTCTACCGTGACGCAATTAAAAATTTACACCATGTTGGTATTGATTTAGTAATAAAATATCACTTTTTGGTAATAATTTAACACTAATTTGTGTTACTTTTTTTACCATATAGTATTGTTTTAATACCAAATCATTACTATCGCGGTAGAGTCATATATGCACTCCGCGCAGTAATTATTCATTAAAATTTTGTTTAGAGTGTACATACATCCTACAAGTTATTAATTGGTTTCCTCTGACGGAAACCATATTAATATGTTATCTTCAAAATTCGGTATGGTTGGTTATCCCGACAGTGTTTATAATACACTGAAAATAATCATGTCCGGTTTTTGTCGGCATAATTAAACAATGAAATAATCCAAATACACATTATTTTCGTATTGATATTCACGTATGCATTTAGACTATTTTATTACATATTTAAATGAAAGAAATTCTAAGTTGTACATACATATTTACATATATACAAGAGTATGTCTAAAAGTTTACCAAGTTACGCAGGTTCCTAAGCGTGACATATGTACGTAAATTATATTTATTAATAAATAGGGGAACTCACGTCAAAGTTTGTAACCTTCGTAACCTGCGATACTTTTGTAATCTTACGAACTTTTACACACATTTTTAGCGAAAATAAACCGTTGTAACGGTAGAAGTAGCTCACCCTGTAATAATGATTTTTGCATAATTTTGCATTAATGGTGCAGAACAGGCGGACAAAAGATATGCATAATTGTGATATAATTTTTCACCAAAGGTGGAAAATAAACGAGGAAAGTGAATCCATAATTTTGACATAAAATCGTGACAAATTCGAAGTAAAAATTCTAGTTATTTTTTCGGTTCTTATGCACGTTTGGTGTGTTTTGCATCTATGTTCTCAATTGTTTGGCACCATTTTGTGTTACCGACTGTTCGAGACCAATGGTGCTACTAATTTGCTAAGATTTGCACATGGGGCATATTAATTAGCATCAATTGATGCAAAAAATTTTTACCCAACTTTTGATTTTCGAAATATAAAAACCATCGACAAAATTCGAATTTATAAAATTTTTTGAAAATGGATTTTTTTTATTCTAGAGGGACTGATTCTAAGCATACATAGATATTTTTGATTTTTTGAAATCGCACCAAAATTCGAAAAATTACAGCATTTTGAAAACCTTAGATTTTGGCTGAAAATTATTTTGAAAATTCCGCCAAGCATTTAAAATCGCGCATTCAAGAAAATGTTAAAATACGGGTCCGCTTATTTTGGTCCCTCAACAAATTAAAATTGGTCCCATCGAAATCCGAGTGTAGCCGCCAACAGGAGTGCATTGTAAGTATGCATTTAGTCCACCTGAAAAAGGTGACAATATGGGATAACTTTGGCATTTCTCAACCGATTTGGATGAAACTTGACACAGAACATTGTTTCAAAATTTAGAGACGATTTGGAACGAGGCAAAGCGATTTGTTTATTCTGAACCGAGTTATGTGCTAAAAACTGCCAAAATTTGAACTTGATTTCACTTAAAAATCTATTGCAAATTATTGGAACATTATGTTAATCTAAATTTTCTCCCACGAGTTAGACCATGTCCTTCTGTAAATTTTAAGCTATTAATGGCCAAAATCGGTGACGAAATGCCAAACTTTCTCCGATGCTCCATTTTGAAAAATTCGATGAAAATAGGTCCAGTGGAATAATTTATAAATGCCATTGACGACAACAATGCAAATAAAAACGCATATCGGAAAATTTAATTACACCCACGCCTCACTAAGAAATCCCGGTTTTCGGGACCTTGACTTGTTACTCCACCATCTACAATCGGCGTGGACTCAAACTTTGTCACAAAATTGTGAAGATCTGGAATGGATGCATTTTACAATTGTACACGAATTTCCTTAATTATCGCGCTTTGTTTTGGGTAGACATGTACAACTTACGTATAACAATTGAATATTAGTTACTAATTATCCCAACGTACCTAGACACAAGCCCCATTAAACCTGTCGATAGGGTTGCACCTGACAAGGTTTGCCAGACCAGAGGAAAATCCACCAAATACCGAGGTTGTCGGTGGAGACGTAATTTTCCCAGATTCATTTCCATCCGAATTTGGGGAAGTAATCCCCCCTCCAAAATTGAAAGTGTTCCTCCATCTTTGTATCTGTTCTTGCAACTGGGCCCTCCGTTTTGGGGCCGCCATGATGGTAGAATTCCGAATTGATGTTATCAAGTCCATTAATGGCGATGAAGATGTCTGGTTGGATTTCGTGGCGGATTCTCGTATCTGAGCTGCCATGGGACGAATTATTTGGATTAAGAGTGGCATCGCGTAGTCCGGCAAGTTCCGGAGTAATGTCCCATTAGAGGCGGCATTAAGTATGTCGATAAGGGGCGAGTTTTCCAAGTTCTTGTCAGTTTGGGATGGTCGGGGTTTTTGGTTCTTATTTTTGAGTGGTCGTGTATTTTTTTTGTCATGGCTTTGTGGGTCCCAAGTTGAGTTTCCAGTGATGCATTCGGACTGGAAATTAAATTACGGTAGAGATTAGGGATCGCAATGGTTTTGCTTTGTTTATTTTTGTTTAGTTTGTTCAAATTAATTTCATTTCATTTATCGATAACGGCTTCTAAGTTATTTAAAAGATAATTAAATTCTGCTGTTTTATCAAATTTCGTGGCGTAAATTACTCCAAATAAGAAAATGATGCCCTAAAATAGTTTCCTAACACAAAATTGATAAATGACTTGTTGGATTATCTTTTCATTGATTTTGAAAATATTGAAAATAAACAAAATAAACAAAAATAAACAGAAATAAACAATTGCGATCCTTAGTAGAGATAAGGATTGGGATATAAGGGATAAATTTGCCAAAATAAACCAATTTATATATGTACCAGTTGTAACTGAAGGGCAAATACGATCCCCAAGGAAAAAGCGAGCTGGAACTTCATCATGTCTCAGATAAAGTGTGAATGGTTATGATTTTTCTCCCCAAATAAGCACAAGGGGCCAATGAACTAACAATGGAGAGGCAAACCATGTTCAACCCAGATTATTTTCTTAGCACTTCAGTTTGAAAGACCAACTCTTTAGAAACAACATTCGGTGCGGCACTTGCGCAAATGCGCAAAACTCAGAACGTTCTAGGCGCCGCAAGTTCGCGAAAACGCTTGATTTCAATAGAAATTTATGCTTTGCAACAGCAGCTCAGATCTTTCTTGATTTTCAAGCTTTAACTGTCTCATATATGATACGGAAATCTTCTTCGATAAATCCCCGACTTCAATCTGTCATGCAAACAATGGATGCAAAAATTTGCCAAGTTTTTGCAAATTGTAAAAATTTGCAAAATTTCCCAAATTGAAATCTCGTCGTTTTTGGGGAAATTTCAACAAAATTAAAAAGTTTAATACACTGTAAAAAAGTTTCATAAAACGAAAGAATGTTCTTCTTGCAAAAAATTTGCAATATAGCAAACAATTATGAAAAATTCATCAATTCGAACGTTTTTCATGAAAATTGTTCCAAATCTCATTCGCTCAAAATTTTCGCAATTTGTTTCCAATAAGAAACATTTTTAAACTTTAAATTTGATTGGAATTTTAAAAACATTGCAAATTTTCACAATTTGCAAATACATGGCATATGTTGGCATTCATTTTTTGCACGACAGGTTGAAGCCGGGGATTAATCCCCGGCAAAACTCTTGAAATCAAGAGTTTTCGCGAACTTGCGGCGCCTAGAACTTTCTGAGTTTTACGCATCTGCGCAAGTGCCGCACCGAATGTTGTTTCTAAAGAGTTGTTCTTTTAAATTGAGGTGGTCAAAAAATAATCTGGGTTGAACATGGTTTGCCTCTCTATTGTAAGTAATTATTTGGACAGCATATGGTGGAATGAATGAATATATTTGATAGGTATGTCAGAATTATTTATTAGGAAATTATGATTTATTCAGATTTACATGAATGACATCAAATTGTCTGTTTTATTGGGGAATCTCATGGCAAGTTTGTAACCTGCGTAACTGCGTATAGTTTGTAAAGTTAGAAACGTTTGATGTTAATTGACTTTGTGAAACGTTTCGTAAAAATCTATAGAAAAGAATATTTAAAAACACCCAAATTACGGTAACTAGGCAACGAATTTCTACCGTGAACCCAAATAGTTCAAGAACTTTAGTTTACGACCGAAAAAAATGCTTATGACCTGCGTAGGTAAGTTACTTGACAGTTCGTTAGTTTATATTCGCCAAAAATGTGTGTAAAAATTCGCAAGACTACAAATGCAACGCAGTTACGGATTTTACAAACTTTGATGTGAGTTCCCCCATTATCTTTGTAAAAATACAGATGTAATATGAACTTATGCGTCGTAATATGATTTAATAAATTCCAGGGAATGACAGGATACACATATTTACAAATTCATGCAGAAAATACGAAAAAAAAATTTCGAAAAATGTGGATTTATTTAATACGGATTTTTGAAATTACCCGTCATTTACTGGTACAGGATTTATAAAGACAAGAGAATCTATTTTTGGCAAAAATTATTTATCTTATTTTGTGTGATTTGTAAATTTTAAAAATTTGCAAAATTATACGATATATAAATCCATTCATATCTTTGACGATAAGTAAATAATTTTTTGCAAACTCACTCCATGTAAAATATTTAACCATCCACACACTTACATATGCATGTTATCCATTGTGCACACAATTTACATATCTACCTGTTGCTCAGCTTCTCCACTGGAGATTTGTCAGGCTCGTCCTGCTCCATGAATCTCAATTATGAATAATTGCATCTCCACCATGCAATTTATCCATGATCGTTATGTACTCATCTCTGTATTCTACATGCCCATTTATCCATGGAAGGATATATGTACTCGACACATTGTAGGTCTACAATATCACGGACAAGTAAAGAGTGTCAGTGCCCACACATTTTTTTATGACTAAAAGCACAGCAAAGATAAAATGGTATTGTTTAAGCACTCTGCCAGCTATCTAATCATCTGTTAAGTGACGAATAAAAAAGTTCACGTAAAAGCTGACACTGGTTTATTAAGTTAAGTTGCCAATTTATCTAAGGTTGCGATTTATTCTGGTTGCAAAATTTGGCAAATTACAAGTGCCGAAATTTAGTAATTAGTTTATAATGAGTTATAATAATAATAATGCCGAAAAAAGTCGGCAGACTGTTCAAACCTGCTGTAGCGACGAAGAAAACTCATTCATGTTGGACGACCACGAAGTAATCACGGAGGATGGATACATCTTAAAATTGCAAAGATTGGTAAAACGCGAGGAAAAGATTTCTCCCGAAGATGCGAAGAAACCTGCCGTTCTGCTTGTGCACGGGCTGACTTGTCACGGGGACAATTGGTGTTTGCCACATGTCAGTTTGTGTAAGTTGTTGAGTTTATGGTATGTATGAAATATTAATGGTTTGAGTGGTTTGACAGCTTATCTTCTGGTTGAGCAAGGATTCGACTGTTGGATTCCGACTTTGCGGGGTTCATCCATGAAACATGTGTCGTTGTCGGTGAAGTCGAAGAAGTTTTGGGATTTCTCGTAAGATATTTTTCAATTAATTTAATATATATTAAGGCATGTAATATCGGTATTTCGATATTATGAATTAAATCACATTTTAAAATATCGAAATATTGAAAAAGTAAATTTGATGTATTTCGATATTTTGAGATCTCGAAAAGTCGATTTTATAATTAAATTTTTCATGCTAAAATATCGAAATATCGAATAAAATATCGAATAAAATATCGAAAAATCGAATTAAATATCGAAATATGGAATTAAATATCGGAGTATCGAATTAAATATCGAAATATCGAAAAACTTGAATTCGATATGTTTCGAAATTTCTATGTTACACTTGACCTCTGTATCAAATTATTAAAATATCGAATCAAATACCGAATATATATTATGCCTTAATAGATTTGCAGAGTAATAAGGCACGTGACCTTGGACTATTTATAAATTTTTAGGTTTCACGAAATGGGTGTATACGACCTGCCCGCAATTATTAATTATGTTCTGGACTTGACCGGAAATGCAAACCTATCCTACGTCGGGCACTCCATGGGTTTCACGGTTCTCTTTGCCCTGTTATCCACCAATCCGGAATTTTGTTCGAAAGTGAATGTTTGTGTTGGGTTGGCCCCGGCACATTATGGGGAGTATATTCGCGGTTTAATTTTCAAAATATCCCTAGGTCTTGGAAGTTGTGTGGTAGGTCATAAAATATAAGTTTAAAAAACCACGTGTAAATTTCCCACGTGTCAAAATTTATTTTTCGATTTTGTCTTAATCTCAGGGGGCGAGCAGTTACATTCGGAGACACCCAATCACCAATCGCACGACTCATAAGCATATCCGGTATGTGGTTCCGAAATCTAAAGAAATCCGTTTTTTGTCGGGATGTTGCATGCATCCAAGTGGAGAGGTGAAGAGTCAAAATAGTAGTCAGCACATGGAGAAAGTTAGTTATTTTAGGGGCTGTCCATAAATTACGTAACGCAAAAATTGTTATTTTCTACATCCCGCTCTCATCTTTTAACGTGTCACATTGACCCGATATAATTGGAACCTTCTGTCCGGCTTCCCCCTCTCGCATTACATAATTTATTGATGTCCCCTTACAAGATTAATAACCTCGTACATTTAATAATTATTTCTTAAATTTGGCGCCTCCGCCAGGAAATATATTGGAAAAGGTCGGCAAACAAAACATCAATCAAAGTCGTGTGTCACGGCCTTCAATGCTTTTCGGCCGGCCAGTTACAAATGTATGATTATGGAAGGTCAACAAATAGAAAGGTGTATGGCCAATCTACTCCCCCGAAGTATGAGGCTGTCCATATTTCTACTCCAGTTGCTACCTTCTCCTCAACCGGGGATCTCTCGTGCACACCTCAGGTAAGATTTAATAACCAGTTTCCTGAGGTAAATACACTGCAAATAGTCCGTTCTAGTCATGGCAGTGTTAATTTCTGGGTATTAGTTTGTCACCACTTGGTATAAATTTGTCATCTTCAGTAAGAATGATTGGCACCAACAACATGCAGTCTGCACGGTGTTGAATTAATACCGGATGATGTGCAGTTTAGGGGCTGTAAAAGTGCCCGGGTAATTATTTGGTATATTGTATACTGTAGGATGTCGCACGACTCTCTGGAGAACTGCCGAACCTTATAAGCCACATTGTTATTCAAGATAAGAGCTTTTCACATTCTGACTTTGTGTTCGGAGAAAATGCACGTGTTCAAGTGTTTCAGGACGTGATTCTAATTTTGTTAAAGTATAACAAAAATATTAAATAAATCAGTTTTATATGAGTACCTGATTTACAACTGGTTTTGATGATTATTTCTGTGGTATTCATATTTACTTTTTTAAATATTGTATGAATTTTAATCCTTCCCGTGGTTCCATAATATAATTGAAGTCAAAGGAAAAATAATTTTTGCACGATTTTTGCATTAATCCAGTTCGTCTCATTTTGTTCAACTTCTCATTTTGTAATAAGTAGATAATCTAACCCTAATTGCCTATATTTGGCATTTTCGTTCGCAACTCGCACCAGCCAATAGGCATGCCCTCATTCGTTGCCGACTGCTCGTATCCCCAACCCAATGAAGCAGGAATGATAAGATAAGCATATCATACACCATTCAGTTGGTAGTTATCTAATTTTTTGGGACATCCTACCTTTGCTAAGAGCATATTCTGAAACTGACAATGTATATTTTTCTATTTACGTCGAGAGGGATGGTAATGAGTCAGAATCACGAGAGTCATTGCAATAACTTTATCACTGTCATATCTTTCCTCCTTCATAATACATACTGCAATAAAATAGTCGTAATTCTGTAACGAATAAAGTTTCTTGTTTCTACATTCCTCCTAATCTTTCTTACTTTTAATCACTCAAGACCCAATCAGTACTTCTTTCCAGAGTTGTTTTTGGTGTTGGTCGTCCCACGGGTGCACAATTATTCATTTCGGGCCTAAATAAGTGAGGTCTTGTTGGTCTTACAAATACCATAATAAAAAATATCAGATACAGAAAATTTGTCAAACCAAATGTTAATGTCGTTACATAATTTCCGCAGATTTTTTAACTGCCTGTGACAGTACAAAATTTCGAGTTCTACAATGACTACAACAGTACTTGGTAAGCATTAGATGCACCCTGCATTCAAAAATTAGTGCTGACTATTACTTTAATTCTAGAAGAAGCATACTGGCTGAAACTGCGTTACCTGGTCGACGGATGTGTCAAATTTGTCCAGGGAATTATGTCCGATAAAAAGAAGTGACCTACATGTGAGCTCTGGCGAGAACGCCTTTATGCTCTTGCGACTGATCTCCCTCATGAAGCCGGATGAAATAGCGGTAGATTTTTTGCTCACCAAGATGAGTAACTTATTTGAGATATCTCTTGATGATATTGAAGATGGTCTGCGTTTGCTCAAGACGCATTCCTTGATCATCTCAAGTAACCGTGTTTTAACGATACATCGGTTAGTGCAGGATGTTACTCGGTATCTCATGAAGAGCAAGTCTGAATATGAACAACATATTCGACGGATACTGACTAATCTCGTGATCAAGGGCTGGTCCAGAAGTGAAATTGGTCATGCGGTGCAAATATGGAAACATGCAGCTAATATGGACTCCGTGGTACGTGATCACTCCGCATTTCCTGTCAAGCTTGTTGGTCGTCTATTGAAGCTTTCACTTTTTAACGAAGCTTACGAATTCGCTCTGCTCAATGTTAATATTTTAAAACATAGTTTGGGAGAGAACAATCGAGACACATTGAGGATGGAAAGGGAACTTGCTACTTCAATTGGATGGATGGACAGAACGGAAGAAGAAACGAAGATTTTGGAGAAACTACTCGAAAAGAGCACGACTGTATTTGGCATCGATGATGAAGACACTCTCCGTATCGCACACCAACTCGCAATTTCTATTCCGGATGATTTGGATGCAATACAGCGCAACAAAAATATTCTTGAAAGTAGGCAGCGAAAATATCCAGAAGATCTAAAAAGCATATACATTTCCAAGCACAATTTAGGGCTAAGGAACATCTTTGCAAGAAATTTAGAGCAGGCAATGGAAATATTGACGGAAGTATACGGATGGCGATGTTCAAGATATGGGTCAAGCTATTCGGAAACACTCCGAACCAAGCATGCCGTCGGACTATGTTTGTACTATGAAAATGATTATGCTAATGCAAAAGAAATATTTGAGGATGTCCTACAATCAAGGAATCAGGTGTTGGGTGAGGAGCATTTCGACACTATTCGGACAAGACGCGGCTTGGCATTTGTTCTGCGGGAAATGGGATTTCATGAAGATGCGAAGAATCATTTGGAGATCGTGTTTAATAAATTAAAAATCAGCTTGGGGGATGATCATCCCAGAACGTTGGCTGCATACGACGAACTACAAGATGCCCAGGGGTGGTCATAAATTCTATTTTTTCTGCTAATTATTTAATTCGAGTTGTAAAATATTTGTAATATAATTTAAATTTCCCCTCCAGAATGGTTTGTGTTAGTCGTGCGAGAAATTAATATTTTGTGCATGCTTTTGTTTATCGTTTTTTGTGAATTAGACTCATCACCTTAAATTACCTATAAATTACCCTAAAAATTCGAGTTTGTAGCCAGTAAGTAATTTATATAGTCTGCAAAATACTTGGAAGAGAATTGGGTCAATATGGAGGCTTGGCCGACTGTAAGACCAAATTAATAAAATAGTAGATATATACGTTATTTTAGGAATTAATGAGTTTTGGACGGGTATCATGGATGACATTATTGAAATAATTTATTCATCCAAACTTTCGAAAGCGAAATGGTATCTTAATGAGGGAGCGATATAAAAAATTAACAAATAAATAAAAAAATAAGGTTTATTTATTTTAGGAATGTGTTTACAGTAGAAATACATAAATTGTTGAGGCACACTTAGAATGTCGTTGCCAATATGTATTAAAGTTATAATGTAGGTAAATATGTTAATAAATCGTGAAAAAAGTACAATACGGCGGATAAAATTGTAGCATCTGTGTAATTTACGAATATTTACACAATTTAATTATCTGCAAATTCTTTATATTCTGCGGTGCAAGTTTAATAAATGGTCATTTTTTCCTGACATAGTAAGGAAAATCTGTAGAAAATTAGTAGAATTCGTGAATAAAAGTGGTAAGTAGCGGTAAAAAAAACACTCACCAAAAACGGCGAAAAGTTCTTAAACCTGCATAAATTTCACATGATCTAAATGATGAAGCAATTCTGCATTTTTGCAACATGGTTGATTCAGTAAGACAATTTTGTGTTTCACAAAATGTTTATATTGACGGACTCTCGCTAATGGTATACATTGACTGTAACTCTATTTTTTAATTTAAAAATAAGTACCCGAAATGGACTCACATCCCGGCAAAAAAAATCGGAAAAATAATTTTTAGTCAAATTGCCCCACCCACTCGCCCCCAGACGACCCCAAAAGACCCCAGCGCTGGGTCAGCTTTTTCTCGGCCCCCAAAGCAGATAACCTCACCAAACTTGGCATGGGCCTCTCATTTGAGGTCGTTCTTACTGACATGAAGTAATGAACCCCCTAGGTCAAAATCTATAATGCCCTTGACCTGAAAATTTCGGTCATTTTTTTCGTTTTTTCTATATATTGTTCGTGTTTATCAAATGTTATCTATTCCACTTCAAAACCGTACAGATACCATATATTCTGCGTCCAATGCCGGTGGTCCGGACCTCCTAGCTCAAAAACGAAGGGTACTTTGTAGGAAGACCGACTTTGGTCGAAATTGCGACAAAGTGCCCTTAATGCTAACTTTCTTAATGACCGCTGGTTCGATTTGCTTCAAATTTTGGTATCTTATTGACTCTTAGTAAGCGAATATAGTTAAATTACCGGTAGGTCGAAATCGACCTGCGTGACCTTGTTTCAGAGGTCAGCGGGATAAATCGGAAGATAAAGTCTCGCATAACCCCATACGTGGCGTATCGTTGAAAAGGTCTTGATGAGAGGATTCAGAATATGTGTACTTTGTGGGGTCTTGGATCACCCCCTCGTGGTCCAGACGCAGAGAGACAAGAAATCTCGATTCTCCAGAATTTAACACAGCCGTAGATTGGAAGCTAATAGGACAAATATACAGAGGGACTCAAAAATATTCTTCTGCCCCTGGACCACGAGGGGGTGATCCAAGACCCCACAAAGTACACATATTCTGAATCCTCTCATCAAGGCCTTTTCAACGATACGCCACGTATGGGGTTATGTGAGACTTTATCTTCCGATTTATCCCGCTGACCTCTGAAACAAGGTCACGCAGGTCGATTTCGACCTACCGGTAATTTAACTATATTCGCTTACTAAGAGTCAATAAGATACCAAAATTTGAAGCAAATCGAACCAGCGGTCATTAAGAAAGTTAGCATTAAGGGCACTTTGTCGCAATTTCGACCAAAGTCGGTCTTCCTACAAAGTACCCTTCGTTTTTGAGCTAGGAGGTCCGGACCACCGGCATTGGACGCAGAATATATGGTATCTGTACGGTTTTGAAGTGGAATAGATAACATTTGATAAACACGAACAATATATAGAAAAAACGAAAAAAATGACCGAAATTTTCAGGTCAAGGGCATTATAGATTTTGACCTAGGGGGTTCATTACTTCATGTCAGTAAGAACGACCTCAAATGAGAGGCCCATGCCAAGTTTGGTGAGGTTATCTGCTTTGGGGGCCGAGAAAAAGCTGACCCAGCGCTGGGGTCTTTTGGGGTCGTCTGGGGGCGAGTGGGTGGGGCAATTTGACTAAAAATTATTTTTCCGATTTTTTTTGCCGGGATGTGAGTCCATTTCGGGTACTTATTTTTAAATTAAAAAATAGAGTTACAGTCAATGTATACCATTAGCGAGAGTCCGTCTATTATGATAATATTCCGTGTATTAATATATTTAATTTTTTTAACTTTGGTTTTCAATTTTTCGTCTAAGGCACATGAAGAATTGTTTAGTAATATCCAGTTAGATTTATGAGTTACAGAGATTTTAAAGTCATATTAAATATAATTGGTCATTTTATGCACTTTTGTACATTTTGGTCATGCAAAAAATAAGATTATGCGCCTAATATACACGGATGTTTTAACAAACAAATTCGGTTTTCCATATTTTCAAGTAGCCAATAAACTAATTTTTTATGCAAAACATAGAAAGGCTCAAAAACAATATTGTTCCAGTTTCACTAAAACGTCGAGTTTGTAACTGCATGCATGTAAATAATTTGCAAATTTACGAACCTGTGAGGTGAATTAAGTTTGAAAAATGTATCATAAAAATTTTAAAGCCAGTCAAAAATAAAATTAAAAAACACCCAAGTCAGACAACGCTACGAGCGTTACCAGATAACGCTTTTCCATGCACCGAGCACCCAAGTACATAAGTTTACAAACGAAAAACTTACGTTTAAAGTACGCAATTGCGTATTACATATGTAAGTTTATTTTCACTAGAAACATGGGTAAAAGTTGGTAAGTTTACAAGCATTATGCAGTTACAAACTTTGACGTGAGTTGGCCCATTATTCAAGCATGCACTTGTGCACGTAGTCTTAACCAGATTCCATCATATCGTCACTACACACGGTATGATTCCCTTGCCCCAACTACAGAACGGACTCCACGTCACATCACCATACCAACACCAATATTTGATATCTTACCATACTACAAATATTTTAATTTTAGTGTGCAAAAACTGCGTGACTGGGTCTGGCTGCGAGTCACGGCTACATAAACAATTGCATACAATCAGCATTATGTAGCTTGTTTATTAATATGCAGGCTGATCTCGGCACGTATGTTCATGTGCTCATAACAATGACTGATTTGCAGTCTTCCTTCCAAAACAAGAGATAAGTGACGAAGCAGCTCGTATAGGATAAAATGCGGCCGAGTTGACGATTCATGCACATTCTTGGCCTTGTTCTCGAATCGATACATATATAGTTTGCAAATATTCGTGCAAAATTTTACAACTACATTTTCTGCAGAGTTTCCTTACTAAAAATAATCTCACGTCAGAAGCGACATGTGGTTATCCTATCCTACTGACGCCTACCGGGACCGATACTGCAACCCGGTGCCGAAATATACACACTCCCTCCTCCCAAACGAGCTGGGATTCGCAGAGGTTTACGTGGATGATGATAAAACTAGGGTGAAAGTTGACGTAGTGAAATTTACGGTGGATGAGATCCTCATTACGACGGTGGATGGCGACCTTGTCATAAAAGGGGAGCATGAAGATAAGGAGGATGAACATGGGTTCCTCTCCCGCTCATTTGTGAGACGCTTCCACCTTCCGGGTAATTCAAATGAGGACGATCTGCGATGTGAGATTGGTAAGTTTTAAATATAATTGAGGGCATTCATTACGACTTGGCACGGTCGAAAAATATGGGCACTTCTGGAGATGGGCAAGTTCACAAATTAATTTTTAAAGCAAAAATTGTTTGCAAACTTTATTTTGTTGCCAACAGTGCAGAATTGTAATGAATACCCTCATTAATAGTAGCAATTTTATGTAGTTCCAGCATAAATTGGCATGAATTGATGCATTTTTTGATTTTGTAATTCAGATGTTGACGGTATCCTAACGGTCACAGTTCCCAGAAAAAATCCAGAGGAGGCTAAAAACTGGAAAGTCCATACCATTGTTTCCGTGGGAAAACACCCCCATAATTCTAAAGGGTTCTTGGGGAAAATGATATCCGCTGCGTTGACGTCTCACGAGGATCTTCCTACTATTTTAGGAGTACAGAAGACCAAAGACCAGTTTACCATTCGTCTCGAATTACCTCACTTTTCCCCGGAGGTCAGTGTGAAGACAATGGACGATTTTCTCCTTATCCAAGGTGAACATGAGGAGAAGGAGGACAGCCATGGGTTTATCTCGCGGTCATTCAAGCGGAAATATCACCTTCCCCTTAACACTGACAAAGACCAGGTTCAGTGTACCCTTAATGGCGATGGAATACTCACGGTGACGGTGGAAAGCATAAATGTTGAGAGATCGGATCATGCCAGGGAGTATAAAATTGTTAAAAATTCTGAGAACTGCGCGAAATAGGTTGGACTGGCAATCATTTGATGGAATCAAGCTTAAAATATTTGTTTAACATTTATTCTTTTGAGTAGTAACAACTACTGTCAGACTCAGGTTTTAAGCGAAAATTGCGGAATTTTTCTGTATCTAGATAATCTGGTTTAAATTGAATATTCCAAGTATTTATTAGGGGTATTAAATAATGGTTAATTATTAATTACTAACATAATTACCTAATAAATAACTCATATAAATTTGCATATGTATGCACTCAAAACAAAATCGTCAAAAAATCGCTACCAGGCGGTGTCTATATATGACCTCACCGGTATGGTAAGAATTTGCTACAGGATAGTAACGAAAGACTTGATTTGGCTTGGTAGCAATCTGACATAAAATTGTGGCAAATCCACTCCGCTTTGTTAACGCAGTAATGTACATAATTTGTCAATTTCTTCACCGTGTCGTAGCAGTTTTTATCCGCATTTGCTATATCAACACTACCGGAAATTAGCAAACTTCTACTGATCTCGAAGCATTATCGTTACCATATTATATGAAATTGTAACAAATTGGTAAGAATTACAGAAAACCACGGTAGCAAATTTTAGTAACAAATAATATATTTTATTATAGAACACTTTAATATATTTTCATTGTGCCATACATACATATTTGATATAATTGTACAAAAAATAGTTTATAATACCAAAAAACGAGCTATATTAATATTTAAATATGATGCCTTACAGATACAAATATTCCATCCGAATTACAATTGTGCATCAATTCCATGCATTCATGGATTTCTAATTTCGTTACATCACATAACTCATAAACATCGTGTTTCAACTTTACTCTATAACTAAAATAATTTCTATCAAAATATTGTACTTCTAATTTATTAAGCAGCAAATAACATGTTTTTTCATCTGTAATTAGAAATTCAACGATAACTCCAAATTTTGGAAACACAGGGTCGTGACCAAAACATACAATATAATTGTGTTTGTAATTGTAATTATTGAACCAAATTTGATTTGTCGTGCAAATTTCTGTTTCTTCATCACATTTTTCAAACCCATTAACTTTTCTCAAGAGTTCAATTGCATCAAATGGGTTGGAAAATTGGCATAGTTTAATACTCAAAATATTCTCAACTTTTAATTCGTTTAGTACAATATTTTTTGACATAACTGCAGCATATTGCTGATGGCGCATGGAAAGTGTCTAACAAATATGCCTAAAATTTTTTGTGTGATTCGCCAATTGCACAAAATAATTGTGCTTCCCTTCAAACCTCATTGTCCAAAGGGAAATCAAGGGACCAGTCTGTCTAATAACATAAGAGTAGTGACACATAAAATGGTGCTTCGGAATCAACCGATTTTCAGGAAATAATTCTTTAAATTTTGAATGATGTGTAATAATAAGAGAATCTAATTTAAAAAGAATTGCTTCAGAAAAGTTTCTACAAAATGCAATATTTAAAATTTCTAATAACAAGAGAATTAATTCCCAAAATTTCTTAGCATCATGTGTTACAATTAAGTCGCCAATTATGATTGGAAGATGTCTTATGAGGCACCAAGCTTGTGCAGCTTTTTGGCCATTTCTGTTGCTATTATTGTCTAATCTAATAGGACTTGGGCGATTCTTCGAATCTAAGTAACCATAATCGTACGAAATAATTCTTTGGTTAATTTTTTCTAAATCAAAACATTTTAAAAATATAAGTTTTTGAACTACGAGTTTTACTTCGTACGGAACAACACCTTCAAGCAAATCATGCATTATGTCCACTGATGGCGAATCTAAAAAATTAAAAAACTGTAAATCATTTAAGGCGCATGGTCTCTGAACGCCAAAACTTTTGCATTGAAGGTGCTCGGCATAATTTACCTTGTTTCTTAATACCATATCGCAATGCTTATAATTAATTTGGGCTTCATCCTTACTCGTGCAGCATAATCTACAATAGTAATTAGAATTGAACGACTCATGAAACCCATAAATTGAATTTCCTCCCAAATTGTCAAAAATAACAGTGGAAATAGTTCCAAAAAATCTATCTGTACCATTTATTTCGATTCCTTGGCTTTCAAGAAGTTTTAAATCAGGAATGATTAAATTTAAAATACCATTTATCCCATATTTTTTTGCATCTTCAGAGTAGAATAAAGCAAGTAAGTGAATCTGACTGAGCTGGGAATTAATAAAGTCGGGCAGATTCCGAAGTACAAAATAAATTGCCCCTATTTTATGTATTCCTCGCTTCGATCCAAGAGGATTAACGGTCTCGAAGTCGTCATAAAATAATTGCAGTTGAATAGAATTGGGGAATTTGGAAAACAGCTCGTTTGTTAAATAAGATTTGGAATTTTGAAAACATGAATAACTTGTTGAATCATTGTTTTTATAATAAAAATATTTAGAAAACTCAGGAATTGACACAATTTTTTCCAAAGTTTTTAACAAAGGGATGTACATAAAGGTGTCTTCAGCTATAACTTGCAGTCGTTTTGTATTGTGACTTCTAAGCTCAACTCTATTTCCTAAAGTCAACTCTTTCGGCATAACAAAATGATCGTTTTCTTTAAAAAGCTTTTGCCTTTGATAAGCTGATTTGACCTTATCAAATGCTTGAAGTAAGCTAAATATTTGTATTTGAAATGACTCGAAATTATTTGATGGAATTGCACTGTCGCCAATTTTAAGAATCAAATTAAAAATATCATTCATTGAATATTTCAACTCTTTAACTATAAAATCTAATGTGGAGTTGCTGACACCAGTTGCAAGTAAAGTGAAACAAAAATTGGTTAATGATACTGTCATCACCTTAATTCCTAAATCTACGGATATTTCATTTGAAGCATTACTTGCAAAATCAAAATCATCAAAATTGTTTGGACTAATTATTTCTATATTATCTCCGTTGTTTGGTTGTATATTTGGAGTAATTGTATCGACAGATTTAACGTCATGAGATTTTGTATGCCCTAAAAAATAACTCCAGGAATTAATTTTAGTCAAACAATTACTAAACGGACATATTACCTCTTTAAAGCATACATGACTAAAATTATGTATGTACTTAACGTGCTTAATTAAACTAGCACTATCTAACATCAATTTACTGCATAAGGTGCAATTGAACATTTTGAAATATGTACTCTTAATTAAGCTGGTTAAAAACCTGTTTCACATTACGAGGCAGATTTTCGGCATCCGTCTCCAATCCATAAATGTAAACTTGAATAAATTTCCATAGCCCCCTTAAACTGATGTCGTACTCCGTCCCAAATACATAATGGCTTTTGAAGAGAATGTCAATAGCTTCGGTGGAATTTTTGGATGCAATTGGAAGCAGCTGACCGTCACATGCGATGAAAAAGCTTGACAAATTTTTCTTATCAACTCCTAAACAAACTAGATTTGGCTGCTTCAATTCGGCTTTCCAAGTATCCAAGATAGATTGCAATGGAGTCCCGGCCTATAACCAAAATTATATTTTTAATCAAAGATAACTATTCTGACCTATTTAATATGTATGTGCGTTAAATGCACAAAAAATATAGAAGCTTATTTCGGTGTTCTAAAATACCTTGAAGAAATTAATTAATTTTGTTTTTGCACCATCCAAAGTACAATGATTTGCCTTCCCTTGTCCTTGTGCTGTTGGCGGAATCAAATGGAGTAATGTAAACAGCGCACCAATTGAAAAATCCCATTCCCCTATAAAATTTTTAATGTATTGATTGTGGTAAATTAAAATAATGTATTTATTTCTATTATTTAAATAAATATTTTACCACAGCCCTGTGCAAGAAATCTTATAAGCGCAGGAGACTTTTTGATACTGCCGGCCCTTTGTAATATTTTGTCTACCCAGGTCGGCCAAGATTTTAAGAAGTTATCGCTTTGCTCAGGGTGGAGTTGAGAAAACTCAAAATTGATCTATAAATCAGGTCAAATATTTTTAGTTATTTTAGTTATTTTTAATGTAATTAAATCAAATTACCATAGACTTCCATTCCTGGAATTTTCTGTAAATTTTTAGAATGGATGAGTCACTTCTGAGCCGTAAATAATTACGGTGAGCGAGTGTCTCCAACGCCAGTCTCTTCAACTCTTCTTCATCTTTAATGGGTGTAGAATTAAGTTTGGCAATTATTTCTTCGTTATCTACAAAGGATTCTTCTACATCCGAATTTGATACAGCGTTTTGATTTTTGCAAACGCGTTTTGATTTTGGCTGCTTCGTTTCATTTAGATGGCGATGTATTGTTCTTAGCCGAGCTTGGATAAGTCCGGAACGGTTACCCTCATCATAAAGTATATCCTGTAACAAAAAAATTGTTAATAATTAACCTAGGACTCGACGACTCATCACCCAAATACTAAAATTCAGCACAATTTTCATCACTCTTCAGCTGTGAGAATCGATTTTAAAATTCTGGACAAATTTGTGCTCATGATGTTCACTAAATTGCTACGATGTTTGTTAATTAGGGCTAATTAGTTCCAATTTTTTTAATCTCCTCCTACAAAACTGTCCAATTCTAGAGTGTATATTTTTTTCCAACCATCATTGTAAAAATTTGTGGCCCAGAATTTTTAAATAAATTACCAGACCAGCAGAACTGACTAATAATGTGACAATTCTTGACATTAGGTATTATAAACGTGGAATGTTTAAATTATATATTCTGACACTTACAATTCCGTTTTCTGACGCTGCATACTTCCAGCAAGGTAAGATTGAAATTACAGTATGAGCAAGTAATTTCTGGTCAGCTGTTGACGGTGAATTCCTATTAAGCAAGAAATGATATTCAGTCCGGGATGTAAAATTCATTCTATAAGATAATTCTGTCCTTACCCTTTTAGCTCAATTAATTTATTAACAAATGATTTTATTAAAATATTCCCCGTGGATGTGTCGACAAAGGTTTTTTCATTGCAGTCAGTGACCAAACGTTGTAATTCCTCGTCACTTTGTACAAATTCCTCAAATATCTACAAAAATATAATGACGCAATATTAATTTGTTTTCAATATTTGATAATATTTTTGTAAAATTTGTGTTTTGGGGATTGTGAGTTACCTGCTTAAATCCACTTTCAATTGTATTTTTAGTTGACAAAAGAAGAGGAGGTGAATTAACTTGAGAAGTTGACCTTGTGAACGTACAAATACAAAAAGGGAAATTCGTTTAGTTAATAAAAAAATAGAAATTATTGATAATATGAATTATAGCTTACAATAAATCATCGGAGAGTTAATGCTTCCGTTTTCCTCAAAAGTAAGCTCAGTTTGTATTTCTCCAATAAGAGTAAACACAATGTTGGGCGTGTCCTGTTGTCGAATTAAAATAGGGAACACTTCCTCTTCAATTTCAGCACCTTGATCGTCGAACAAATTGATTTCGACATCTGCAGCAACATCAAACTTCCTTTTAACTAAAAATTAGAAATTTAATTTTAAAACTTATATTCAAACACAATAAACTTTGTACTTTGTTATAATCGTTGGCCTTACCTGAATCCAAGAACCCTAAATAATCCCCACTGAAAACAATTAATTTTTTCCCCCTCAGGGAGTTGGAAACACGAATTAATTTTTCCATTCTGCAGCTTTATAAAGAGCAGAGTAACCGCCAACGAAACTAAAATCCACGCTTTGACTGTTACTACTTTGTGTGAGACAGACAGAACATGGTGAGAATGTAACACAATAGTTTTGTGAAAAATCGTTACGAGGGCCGGTAATGAATCGAAATGCTACAATACGGGGTCGATTTGCTACAGAATTTTATTAAACTTCTCATAGTTTATTTACAAACATACTTATTTTTACGGTAGCAACCAAAGATGAAAATTGTGTCAATGTTGGTGACAATTTTAACACAATTTCAGTAAGAACAGCCTTTACTATTGGTTGGTAGCAATTAAATTCAGGCTATTGCTACCAACTTGCTTAGAGTGTGTATGTATGTCTGCTTGTAAAAATAGCAAAATAACGTAACAATGTTACTTGAATTTTGCAAAAATTTCGATATTTATTGAATATTATTTATTCACCTCTGACTTACATACATATTTATACTTGTGTAGATATATTTTAATTTTTTGGTAGTTGACAGACCATAAGGAATCCCAGCATAGTCATTAATTTTTCGACCTTGACGTTTTCATAAAAAATAAATAGTTTACTATTCCCCGAGTATTGGGGGTATTGACTCTAACCCTCCTTCACTTTTTCAACACTCACATGGTACGGTACGATACAACATATCCAAAGGAAATCAATTTCTAGCATTGACCACTTCGTACAATCTCCTCCTTAGTGGTAAAACTACATATAATTTCAAACCAGGTTATTCACCATTTATTTAGTAACTAATCATGTGTATGTATGTGTGCGAAATTTCAGATAAATTGGTTGAATAGCAAATACAAATCTGTAGTACAAAAAATCTCAAATTTTTGAAATCAATGTTACAACGCCAAATGGGTATTTGCTCACTTTCAGTTTTTTTACTTTTAATTCCAGCGGAAAGCCAGAAATAATTTCTTCACAAAACTTTCCCTATTAATTATTAATCTCAATTACTTCTTCCATACATTACCATAGCCTACATAGAACCATATGCATGTTGAGGATATTAAAAAAACCGGAGATAAGTTTGGAAATTATAAAATTGATTCTTGAGTATCGAAATGAAGGACTTTCTTTCAGAGAAATTAACAATAAAGTTAAAATCAGTGAATCATCGGCTCGCTAAATTATTTCCAGGTGGAATAATATCTGAGCTGTGATCAATCAAAGTGTGCGTAGTGGTAAACGAAAGACAACGCCACGTCAGAACGTCGCAATTTTGATGGAGGTGAAGGTCAACCCTCGGCTCACTGCTTCAAAAATAGCTGCAGATGTCTAAACGGAGCTTGGGATTATAGTCAATACTCAAACAATTCGCAGTAGACTAAAAGCTGCTGGATTATATGAGATGGCAGCGAAGATGAAGCTATGGACATCTGCAAAGATTCAGAGGAAACGCCTGGAGTTGGCACGACCGAACACTTCGTTTTACTCACTTGGTGACCATTTAGATGTTTGAATTACGTATACGAAATCATCTCATCTTCAAGTTCGTACCCGCGGTACTTCTGTATTTGGACAAACTGTATGTATGCATTGCGGATATGGGAATGGGTGTGCATTTTCGATACCTTCCGGGCCCAATTGGTCAATACATTGCATTGGTTTTAAGAAATTCATTTGCGAACTTTTCAAGAAGAAGGACAGGTCAACACGAATAGTAAAATCTGGAAAAGCATGGCGAGGGGCGGCTGTATGATGGATGCAGTAGCTGCGTCCCCCACTCAGGGTTCGAAAAAACCCCGGGTTTTAATCCCAAAACCACTACCCACGGGTTTTTATGTTATTTAGGGGTTTTACTATATTTTCCTCCATGGGTGGGGTAAAATAATACAACCAAAAAGTTGCATTTGAAATAATGCACAAATTAGCGAAATATGTAAAAACCTGTTCTTGGCGAAAAATTCCTGTGGGCGTCAAACAAATCGCACAGGGTCGTATGATAGCTCATTTTTCTCGTAATCGTATGTAGTATCCAATGCAAAATACTGGAAAGTCGAAAAGAAATTATCCATAAAGTTTTATTTTTGGCCTCTCATTTTCAAGTGGTAAAAAAATTCTGACCTTTGACCTGTCACAAAAATTAAAAATCGGCGACGCGGAATTAATCGCCAATGAGTTTATACAGCTGCGTGCAGAGTTCCAAAGGCCTAAGTGCTCGGGATCCTATCGAGATTAAAAAAACGTTACCCTATGATCAATTTTGTTACATACTGTATGTATGTATGTATATGTATCCTTCCAAGCTAACAATTGTATGCATAAATATGCATTGAATGTTTTAAGGGAATGAAGACAAATTGAGCAGGTGGAGGTACATATGTAGTAGTAATGGTGGTGGAAAGTTTACGCATTTTAAGTCAGATTCTGCTCCTGGTAAATGGTACATAAATATTGAAAGCAAATATTGTGTAATTAAATGAAACAATTTGAATATTAATTACACAGATAGTTGCTATCACTCCGTTATCATACCAACAAACTTGAACATGTTGAATAAAGATGGATCCATCCACGAGGTATGTAAATAAGATGCCAATTAAAAAAATAAAGAGGATTACACAACCATTGGGTGAAATTTCACCAACAGTTGGATAATTTTTTGTCCAAATTGTCCCGTTTTTTAATTCACCTTGGTTAAATTTAAGTTATTCGGCTGTTTTATGCAAAGACTTTGTCCGTCCGTCTGTCTTCATGTCTCCGAGCAGGATAACTTGACAATGTTTACAACGTGAGAATCCTTTAAGGTATTAACCCAGTATTTATTAAAGGTTGCACAAAAAACGTGCTTAAAAATATCCAATCCAATTTGAAAGTTTATGGATTTCAATGTTACTTATTTTCTACTCGTCCATCTGACAAAAAGGTCCACTTTGTTAAATGAGACTTTGCCTCAATTTGAGAATAAAATTCGACCCTTTCTGATTTTCTATTTTTGTTCCTTCCATGTGCCCTCGAAAAGGCAGCATTTTACCAGATTTTACAAAACCAACACTGATATCTAGGACAGCCTGAGGTTCACAGCCAGCTATCATTAAACCTTGGAAAAGTAGAACGTACTTTTACCACAAATTGAGTAATACTTGCTGCACATTGTCAGTATTTCATTTCTGCATTTCAGCAAATCAAAATTTTGAGAATATAAATAAAACATGTCTGGAAATCAGTGACAATCACAATTTATTTGCTCAAAACAGTACACAATTTACGTTGAGTTGACCATCTAAATTAAAAATTTCCAGATATTAGTAAACTATCCAGTAAATTGGTTTTTCTCTCTAGATGGATCACACACAAAGGGCCGCATTCGAATGTCCCAATTGCTCCAAAATGTTCAAAACTAAGTCAGCATTTACCCAACACCTCGTCACACATGATCCCAACGTTAAGGTGAAATGTCAGGTGGGTTGTTACATATATTTATAAAATTGAAAGTATAATTCGTGAACAAGAATAGAGATACAAAATCTGAGAGGTTATCTGGCAAGTTGTTACAGGTCACAAAACACTTCTTACTTTAGAAAAATTAAAATACTTCTGTCGACTTTTTGTCGACTGAACCAAAAGTATTTTTGAACTACATATTTACTTATTTGGCTCTAGATATGCGGTAAAATCTCCAAAAACCCGGCCCTTTATTCTACCCACTTGGCAAGAGTTCACTCAGACCGAGAACGCCCCAGTTGTGACATTTGTGACCGGGTATTTTTCTCCCGGGTGACTTTACGAAAGCATAGAGACACCGTTCATACCAGGATTGAGGGACGAGCCCGTTTCCCATGTAAAATTCCCGGCTGTGGGAAAACCTATCTAAATAAGGGAAGTCTTTGGTCACACGTAAAAGCAGAGCATGGCGAGAATAAGGTCAGATTTGGCTGCACTCTGTGCCCAAAAGAATTTAAAAATCGGACTGACCTGGCGGATCATATTCGCACCCATACGACCGAAAAACCGTTCTCGTGTCCCACTTGTGGAAAAAAGTTCAGACAACGGCAGCACTTGAAGCCTCACCAGGTATGTAAATTTCTCTATATTTCCTGCACTCAAAAACTTTAACTTAAGAATGTTGTTGCCCTTATTAAAAGTCAAAGCCTTAAGTGCGTAAAATCATACTACACCCGGGGAAAAGTTAAATTGATAAAGCCTGAACTTTACTTGTAATTCATTCCCTTACTAGAAAATTCAAACTACAATTGAACACGCGTAAAAGTGCCAGCTTGAATTTTAAAGGTGTACTCAAAATGGCACCATTTTCAAGCTACATCGGCTTTGTCTAAAACGAGATATGACCAAAAATCAATCAGGCGAAAAATTAGAGATCAAGTGACACTTACATTTCCGTTCAAGAGAAATCAAAGTCCGCGGGGGTTTTGGCCGCGGAGGAAAAAAATGAGACACCATGTATTTATAAATCAATTTTGCCCCCCAATATTCTGCTTCAAAGGGACCATTTCACCGACAAAGAAATGAAATGAGAATGCTAATTTTTGCCTCATTTTTTAACATACTTAACTCGATAGCCATTCTTGAAAACCGTTCATTTCTTGTTTGCTTTGCTTTCCAGAAGACGCATTTGGACAAATCTGCCCGAGAAAGTTTCCCGTGTCTCGATTGCCCTGCCGCGGTTTTCTTGACTAAACGAGGGTTGCAGGAACATGTCCGAGCTTATCATGAAGATCGGTAGGATTATCCGTGCACATTTTGTGACAAGAGGTTCAGGACACGGTACCAGGAGAAGCGTCATATCGAGGCGATACACCCCCCGAGCAAGGAGGCGATTCACTCCTGCGATCACTGTGGGTACAGAAGTCACTCAAAGATTAATTTAGCTGTCCACGTGCGGCGCCATAATCCTGCGAATCAACGCGAATGTTATTTTTGTGGGAAGATGTTTAGCCGGTTTCCTATGTTGGTTAAACACTGTGGTAAATTTCATACGCTCGAAAAGTAAAAATGGATCGTCGCTGCAGCTTAAATTATAGTTCTTATTCTAAATATGTAAATATTATTGTGATTTGGTAAATGAACTTAATCAAAATCCTCAATCAGTTTGGATATTATATAGGGGCAAATAATCAATAAAAGTACAATTCCAAGTCTGGATAACGTTTTTTTACAAAATTTTAGTAAAACATTTAAACCAAAGTTTGTTTAATAATTGGCCGAATTTATGCAAATGTTATGCTGAAAAAATGTCGGGGAATAACTTGAGATATATAAAACCTTTCCCACATATATTTATGAATATTAATATTTATGTATATTTATTCAGAAATAGCTTGGGCCACATGTTAAAACGGGTAATACTTAATCATTTGCGGTTTGTAACCGCAAATGATTAACCAATTTAAAAAACTGGAAGTCATGGTCTTTGCATTTTTCTAGTTTCAATTCTATCGCGAATTTTATGTATTTATTTGCATATGTATGCAAATACGTAAAATTTACAAGTAAATTTAATATTCATTTTTGATACATACAAGTTTGTTTTTCCAGCGGTGCAGGTTATTAGCTTAATATTCACCTTTATTATTGAACAAATTGATCACATTTTAAATTTGTCAGGATTACAATAAGAGTATTTTAGTCCACATAAGTAGTGATAGTGCAACATCAGACAACATTTAGAAATTTTATGTATATCTAAGTCAACTCCATATCCAGTTATTATTTACTAGCTGCTTAATAACGATATTTGCATATTTAAATCAATGTCACCTTTATCAACATTTATCTGTATTTTGCAAAAATATTTTGGGAATTATTTAATACTTCAGGACCGCATAAAAGTACTCAGAAATATGTACATATTTTTCGCAAATTTCATGTCAGTGCTCTCTCGGAATGGAGTATGGCATATTTGCGGAAATTGTCTCCATTTCTTTCTCTTCATCATTTGCAGTTTTCTCATCTTCCACCCGCACCTTGGCAAATCTTCGCATACTATTTCGCACATCATGTCTCCAACTTTGGGTTTTGTCAGCCAACTTGCTCGGCAGGTCGTAGCAACCGAATCCGACGCCGAGGAGGATGCCGTACACGCCGTAGACGAAGTACTGGTCGCGGATTGGGAGGTGGAATCCGTGCCGCGAGGTGACCGCCATGGTCAGAAGGAGGTGAATGATGCACGCCGTGAGTGTATTCATCCCGAAGATGAAGGCCTCACTTCTTTCTCGGGTGGATTCTGCGACTTGAGATCTGTGCAAAAAAATACGGCGATAATTACTTCAAAATTGGTCACCAATCAGTGTACATCTTGCAATTATCAGGGGACTATGCATTACTGATAATGCTATTGTATCAAGAACAATATTTTAAATATTTCCACTTGTTTAAAACCTGAGATAATTAACACTTTTTTACAATGCGTGCAAATTATTTTGCAAAATTACAAATTTAGTGCAAAAGTTAATACCTAATTACCATTTACGGAAAATTATTTTTAATTACTTAGTAGAAGTTTTAACGAAATGAACAAGCAGGTTGTCAAAATACTCATTTCTCAGTGAGGGCGAATATTATTTGCAAATCATTAGGATTTTTTGCAAAAATTAGGAAATAATACTATGTATTGAAAATATTCACTTCGCAATGATGACCAAAACCTGGAACATGGTCTGGAACAGGATGAACATTCCATAGGCAACGTACAAGTCGTGCGTTTTTGCCATGACGAACAACGCGACGCCCTGGAGGAAGGTCGACACTCCGAAAACAAGACAACCCCACTTGATCCAACAGGTCTTTGTTCGGCCAACAATCAAACCAAGAACGACACCTGAGAGTGTAGAAGAAATAAAGATTTACTTCTGTGTCTTTTGAAATAAAAAAAAATTGACACACAGTATCTGCATGCTAAGACTGCTAACAAGGGAACCATTTCACGCAATACACCCGGATTTTATCGCTAGTTGAATCGAAAAATTGAGAAACAGACTTGGACTCACGCGGTACTTATCGCTCTCTTTAATTGCCCATTTGAAGAAAAATATAGTGGAGAAATTTCACGCCAGTAGAAAGCAAACGAGAGAAAATTTGTTAAAACATTCTGCTGATTTTCCTCCAAGGGGTCATTCAACGGAAAGATAAGTGGCACGTGAATCCACATTTCTGGCATGATTTTTTGATATAACATCCCCGAGTAACTTGGAAAAGGGTTCCCTTGTTTTTATGAGCTTACTGATGATTGCATGGGAAGCGTGGACCGCTCCGTTGTACACGTTTTGATGGCTGTGGTGCTCAATCTCTTTCCAGAGTCCTTCCACGTAGAGATCGACCTGGATGTAGAGGCCGTACGACATCGCCCACCACACCGACCACTTAATAATGTCCCGATTGGTGTAGGCGTAGCGTAAGTTATTTTTCCAGTGAGTGGGGGCTTCACGCCACCGTTGACAACGTGATGGTTGTTTTTCTAACCCCACATTTCTTGTGTAGTTGAGTCCGGTGGGGATCGGGGATGGCGATTCTGCTAAATAGATTAATTAACTGTGTAAATAACAAGTGGAAGCATTATTAACCTAAAACTAAATTTCAAGTACATTAAAGTTGACGGATTATTAACAAAATTTCGCTTTGTTTACAAAATTTCGAATCAAAGTATGCTTAACGGATTCGATTTATGGTGTGCCCCCTTATTCGCCGGACTGTCGATTTAATGATTTATTGAGAGTCATGAGACACTAAATTAACAAAGTTTGATTAGTAACTATAGTTAGTACATTGAACAAGTAAGATTAAAATCAATTTGCCCCATCCACCCTTGAAACCAGTTTCTCACAGCTTTCTCCAAGCACTGTCCATAACCTGTTTTCCCGACTTTATGGTCACACTTTGTATGATTTGACCCCTAACCCGTCCGAATCCCGTCATGTTCTTGACTGGTTTTCGTCGTCGGATATATGATTGTTTGGATAAAGCCTGATTTCGTCCAATTCCACCATCTTGCGGAACAGTGGAAGCATTTTCCTTCATAGGTCGAAAATCAAGTTTTTCATCGCAAATGTGTCTCACAACAATTCTCCACCAAAGGTAAGTTGCCATATCCGGTCGAAACGAAATGTCTTGCCCATTACGGCCATAAATGAAGGGAATCAGACGCCGTTGAATGCAGATAAGCCCCTGAGGTCATGGTTCCTTCCTATATACGAGGCTCAGAAATGTGCCCGTTTCCGACTATGACCAACCAAAAGAAGCGTCTTGTGAATAATCTTGCTTTATTAATCGTTCTTTCTTCATATTTTACTTAATTGCGAATATTCGCATGGAAAAATTCTGAAATTGGTACATGAAATTTATAGAATGTGAAAAATCTCTCGTCGACAATAACCAAAAACCTGGATGTAACTTTCTCATAAATTTTTTGTAGCCCCTGATTTATCACTAGAATTTTTATGCTAACGTATTTTGTTAGCTTCTGTTTCTACTGATAAAATTATCAGTAATTATTCTGATTTAATTTCCTATACCGTGGTGTGACACAGTTTGAGTTTTCAGGAATCGCTGCAGTGAGGAGTGGATGGCTTCCGTTTGTGCAGGCGTTCAACAGCATTCATGTTTTTGGGAGGCGACTCTGACACCGGGCGTCTGGGAATTGTTTCGATAGGCGCAGTTTCTGTTACCCCATACCTTTGAAATATGCCGTAAATAGTTGATTTTTGGGGATATTCACCTGAAAAAAAATTGCCCGACCCTTCTCTTGTAAAAATTGGCGAAATTTTCATAGTAGTGAAAAATGAGAGTGGCGAATGCCTCATGTTCGGCTCGTTCCATTTTGTACAAACTGTTCGGTCATATTAATGATATGCAATTATTGTTGGTACATTAGTTACTACTTACGACTACATAAAGAGATTTAAATTATTCATGCGTTTTCTTACCAAATTAATGCAATTTAAAGCAAGAGTCCGGCGAATAAGGGGGCACACCATAACAACGCTTATTTATTAGGTACACAGCAAGGTAGAGAACTTTGCTAATACCTAACGTGAATTATTCACGGTGAATATAACGTACCGGATTTAATAATACATTAATAGCAATACTAAATTCCATGTTTCGATGGTGGAAAAATTAATATGGAAAATGCATTTATTTTTAAAAATTCAGCCAATTAGAAACAGGGGGTCCGCAATCGAGGGCCTCGATTCGAGGCAGTGGTCAAATTCTGGTGCAAAATAATTTTTTATATTATTTCCAGTGGTATTTGACCCAATTTTGATGATTTTGTGACAAAAATCAAATTTCTCAAAATTCGCAAAAGGTTGCACATTTTGGCTCGTAGCGCAAAAACTGGCTAAGCGCCCCCCCCCCAATAATATTTCGGATTCTTAATGTACACAAAACTACGCAAATTTTAAGCCATCATTCATCAAAATCGTTAGAGCGCGAAAAAAACACAATCAAATTGTATACATATATTCTAAACACAATCAGATGGTATACATATATTCTAATTAGGTTGTGCAAAATTATGTAGGACACTGAATAGGGAAATTTGCAAAATTTTAGGAATTTGAATTTGCTAGTCGACAAAAAATTAAAACTAAGGAAATAAAATGATGAAGTTGATTAATTCAAAACTACAGTTGCACAGCAATTTGAAATTCGCCAATTGAATATGAATCCGATTATGTAAATAATTAATGTTAGTTAATGTTAAGCTGATATATAAATCATAAGAATTTGTGCATAAATTATGCATAAAAGATATTATTCCGAATGATGTCTTTCTGTGAATGCCACTAACAAATTAGGAGGCTTTAGAAACTGATTTAGTGGAGATTTCGGCTAGAATGTGATAGCATCGAATCGAAGCAAGTGGTAAATTTTAGCTGATTAGGTGGTGTAATAAATTTAAGGGAAATTAAATTAACCGGAATACATAAATTTGAAAGTTCTGGGGCATCAACTTTTCTATCAAACTTACGACTAATTTGTTCCAAAGTACTTAATGTGCCTTAACTTAGTTAAGAATTTGCTTAACTAATTTGCAAAATAATACCCTTTTGTAGCACACTTTACATTTCAAAATGATTCCTATTAAAAGTTAAACGTGCTAATTTGTTATTTAAAATTCTCACCTTTTTTATCCTTCCCGCCCTCTTCCTCTATTTGTTTCATGGGTTGTTCCGGATCATTTTCGTCCGCCTTTTGGCCCTTCAGTGCCTTCTCGTCCTCGACGTCCCTGAGGACGCGTGGGAGCAGAATGGAAAAGATGACGGAGCCCACCCCACCTGCCAAACTGAGATAGTTGAGCTCCTCAAAGTCCATCAGATTAAAGGAGATCAGAAGTTGTCCAGTCATTCCGGAAATGAACTGGCCAAAATGTACTGCCGAATGGGTGTAGGACGTGACCTTTTTATACTCGCATTTCTCAATGTTGGCGTACATGTAGGTGAAATAGGCGACTTCCGTACAAGTGGTGGAAATGCCGTAGAAGATTTGGCGGAGCTGGAAATAAAGTGATGAAAATTAGGGTGCATCCCAGTTTGAAGAATTATTATACAGAGAACCAATGTAGGGTTTGTAAAGCATCGTTGGGGAACGTTCATAAACTTCAAAATTTTTGTTTTTTGGCCATCCACGCACCCTCTTTAACATGTTTCACATAGGCACGACATCATTGGGCTCTAACCTCCCACCTCTCTATGTGTTAAGAAGTTTATCAACGTCCCCATGGTAATGTAATATCAGTTTAAAAATTTGCAAAAATTGATCCCTGTGACGATAAACTTTTTTTGCAAGTTAAATTTTGCGTAGGAAAACTATTGTGGCAACTTCTAAAATTGTAATACATAAACAATTACAAGGTGAATTTACTTGGCAAAAATCTGTTTCCAAGATGACCGAGTCAAATGTATATAAAAATATAATACTCCACCTCTAGGTATAATCTTTAAATTTTTGCAATATTATGCAGTTGGGTGTTTTATTGGTTTTCAATTTTTTGTTAAACGCATAGGCAATTTACTCTAATTTTTATTTTGTTCAAGATAAGGGTAAATATATGTATAAAAACGTTATTTCAATAAACTCGTCCAACAATTTGGATGTGAATGAATAAATTTCTGTAATTTTGATGACATATGTATTGGTACTAACATTGAAGAAGGATTGCAAATATTCATACCCGTGCCATATTAATGCTGTGATACCCCCAGATGGTGATGGCCCACGTGATGCAATTGTACACCCCGGAGTTCACAATGATGGGCTTGTAGGAGAAAGCGTCCGTCACCATGGTGAGGAAAAACAGGGACACGATGTACGTCCCCGTCGTGGCCGGAAGGACTTCGTGTACCATCTGAGATAAGGGAAAAAATTAGTCGATTGCTTGATCAGATTTGTAAATTTAGCAGTCAAGTTTAGGTACACTAAAAATATGTAACATGGTTGCATATTACTAATTTACAGAGTCATTTCACATACCCTTAAAAATGGGGTTACCAGTTTGAAAACTGAACATAGTCTTAATTCTGAAGTTAGTGAACTTGATCAGGAGTAAGGCTTATTCTGGTTTTTGTATCATTTGCATACTTAATTTAGACGTCAGCGTGCATTTGCTTTTCATGAGGGTAACAATATTTTAAGAGTGCATATAACGAATGTATTGAATTTATGTATATTCATAATGCTGCACAGCGTTGGATCCAATTTTTAGCATTAATTTCCAAATTCATTTGCCCTTTAGGCACAATGTTGACACCTTTGAATTTTATAGAAATCATTCGAAGATTGAATATTTCGTTATTTAACTCCCATGCGTTCTATATTTAATTACCGAGAAATCGGAAACACAATATTTCATGCAACCTTTTGCATGCAGTGTTCAAAACTGCAAAATGTATGAAGCGCTAAACGTAATTTTTAATACGCCTGTACACTTTGTAAATGGGGGCAAATTGTCTCCAGCGAAGCATTGGTGAAAGGTATTAAAAAAATGAAAATTTAAGCGACACCAATTTTTAATTTCCACGTATAAATTACCTGTTCTTGCGTGAAGTTCTGATGGTCGACGGCATAGTCGACGAGGAATGGTCCAGAGGGACGGAATTCTTTGAAAAGTCCGACCATGATAAGCACCAAAATTGCGGCTTTCCATTTACATCGGCCCTTCATGATGATGAAATTTTGATTTAATATTTCTCACAAATTTGATATATGTCGTTTCTAGTACAGCCGGAAACTTCAAGAGAATACTCATAAATATTCTGTATGTAGAAAAACGTTTCGCGAAAAGTTACACTTCACATGCATAAATTCGCATGTTAGGAAAAGTTCGCACACCACACACATTAATTTTGCACCATTCTTGCTTCACGTTTCAGTCACAACTGGTCTTGGTCTTGGCAGGGTTGATGATAAGATTTCGCCTACTCAATGCACTTCACTCGCTCCTGGACGAACGCCTTAATTGCCCACATCCTTTGCATTATTGTGAGCGCAATAATGTTTTATTTCTTTGTGGGGGACTGCGCAAAAAGGGCGGGGTTAATCATGTAGCAGGAAATGCGTCAAAATTCTCTATAACTGTGGTCACAACCTTCATGAGCGGCCCCTAGTCTGTACATACACATCCAGACAGAGACTTTACTGTGTGTAGAGGAATGGAGCGAAACCTTGCCAACTTTTTTTTTGCTCGGTGACTCTTAATTTTGTAATCTCTTTAACAAGAATTGGGCAAAATATGTTATACCACAAAATGACGTTTGTATGTATGTGTATCTAGTACCTTACTATTTGGTGAATATTCTAACAAGGTGGACAAGAACAGTGGGCTCACTAGTGGAGCAGGTATATGTGCGAGTTAGTAACCGGTTCTCCAGCAAGCGAAGAAGGCACAGGTAGGCTAGGCAAGAATGTGGGAGATGGGTTTACCTATTGAGTGGCGAACAGTGCCGGTGGATTTGGTGGGGACATTGTCAGCTTTTTCACATCCTCTACAAGTTAGATAAAGAATTAAAGTGCACTCTGTTTCATAATTGGGTACAAAGTACAAAATACTAATCGTACATTAAATATGTGGTGTTTTTTTTTGCAACACTTTTACATAGACAGTATGAAAATAAGTCGGCAAATTTTAACTCTTTTTCCTTCAAAGACTACGAACTTTAGTTTGTCTGACATTTTACATTTTTAAAGTCCACATTTTTTCCGCGGCCACTTTTACATTTTATATTCGAGTAAACGACCTTGACACTTGATATATGTATGTACACGACACAATATAAACGTTGTGCATGTACTGCATATGTGCAACTAATGTGGAATCCGTATAAATAATACTAACGAAAAATGATGTAGGCGAGTATATATACACTAATTTTGATTGTGGCTTATTGCGAAAGTGTGCAAACGAGAGGAGAATGTAATGAACACCTTGCCCACTGGGACATGCTATTCCAGATGACAGATTTATCCCGTTCAGTCTATGCACTTTCGGAGAGAAATGTGTGAAAATACGGAAAAAATCTATACCGAACGACTGCCAAGTTGGCAATGACTTTGTGCTCCGATTCCAAATTAAATGTGAAACAAGTCGTCGGGTGAAAATCAATATTGCGCAGACTTGGTTTATGTGCTTTCACTATAATGCACGGCTTGTTATGCATTTGGAGAAAACTGCCTGACTATGAGTCATCCCAGGACAGGATCACATCGAGTTAAATATTCATTGCCAAATTTAGCAAAAAAATAATGAAATGGTTAGAGCGATAAAGAAATTTAGTGGAGTACAAAGTATGCACAAAAAACATTAACAGAGAAAAAGCAGCACACTTTTAAAAATAGAATTACCCTTTTTGAAAGCAAATAAACCGTTGCAAACGAAATGTAGCAAAGGGGTGAAAACACACGTAAATGTCCTTGTGGCACACCCACATCGTCTTCCAATACTTTCCCGTCATTTTCCCCAATTATCTCAAGTTACCCCACGTCTCATTTCGCCCCGTTTCGACATAACTCCCGCGTACTTTGAACGTACACGACTATACCTTTCGATAGACACCCCACATGGCATAATTCAAGTGGCGTCGTCTACACGGTCACACGGTCATCGTACGTCAAAATGATGTCGATTTTCGAAATCCCCGTCCCAAAATACGTCTAAAACCGTCGAAACAAAAAATTCGACACCTATTCGACACGGCGTCGTCGCCATGGCGCCGTGACCTTAATACCTACAATGCCCATCTTCGAACTCATCCATACTTCAAAAATTAGAAATACTTTAGCGAAAAGCGCATCTCGATATTCGCATCCGTTTTAAAGTTATCGTGGATACGGACGGACGGACAGACAAGACATTCCCATAAAGGGGTTTTCACCCCTTAATAAATCCACTCTGAAAGCTCGACTACAGTCCATTTAAAATTGATATGCAGTAAAACATCTGGAAGGTTATTTGGCCGAGGATTAAAAAAACTCGTTATTTTCCAACTTTCACCTGTTTTCATCGTTGTCAATGGCAATCTGCACCTTGGGCCATTTGACCTTTTAAAAAAATTCGAGGACTTTATTACATATTAATTTTGAACGAACAGTAAGCAAGCTAAATTTACTCAAACCAAAGACACATTCAGGATTTCGTATAATTTACTTATTTATATAATTTCAAATTTGTTTACTTTTAACAAGATTACTGTATTTTTAAGAGTGCGATTTGGGAAGGGGTAAATTAATTTGCAAAAATTTGATGGGCATGAATAGTGGTGTGGCAAAATTTCGAAATAATACTTATATCGTCGGCTAAGTGAGTAATCCAGCGAAGTCCAAAACGCGTCAAAAAGAAATCAAGTCAAGTCCACCTATTTTGTACAGGACTTGACTGGATTTCTTTTTGATGCGTTTTGGACTTAGCTGGATTACTCACTAAGCTGACGATATGCAGTTGAGTGCATAATAATTTTCACTATGCAATACTGAAAAACGACATGAAAGCTTAAATCTGATGAATTCACGTATCAAGTATTACTTTCATACACATGTACGAAAGTCGGAAGTTAGGCTGAGATTGAGTTGAGATTTGTGTTAGAAATCTTACAAAAAAGTTACCCATGAGAAACTCAAGTTTCAGTGCCATGCGGTGCAGCGGTTGACAGTCGTTCTTTTCACATTTCTTTTTTTCCATGGTCAACTCGTGTACATGAACAAGTTTGCACAATATGTAAATGCAGTGCAAATATCACTCTGTTGAAGTGTATGCACGGATTTGGTATTGATTAAAGGAGTAAATTTGTACTTATGTCGATTTAAAATGTGCAAACATTTATGTGTACATATGTAGGTGAAGTGAAGGTTGTGTGCTAGGCATGCTTTTGTATTTACGTATCCCTAGTAAAAGAAAGATACTTATTTTTTATTGCGAATCACCTTTACAACTAATTTTATGTATGTCTTTAATCAGATTTGCTAATTAAAATTAAAATTTAACTTTTGTGGTTTTACCAGGGTTCCGTGATGAGGAATCTGGTTGCTTTTTATACTTATGTATAAATTGATTCTTCCTGTTTACTATGATAATTCGCAATTTGGAATTTTCCACTTTTTTGAAACTAGGGATTTAGTTATTTGAGTTATAGTGATAAATATAGATCATTGTGGTAATGACGTATGTGACGGGAGGGAGACAATTGTCGCTGCTACATAGCAGGTCATTTTCAACCTGTTTATAGAACCGAACTCCTTCAAGCCATAGTACACCCGTGGCACTTAAGTCCAACGAGGAGCGACTTTACGACAGATTATGCTTATCAATATTTAAACGGGATAAGGGGTATGGATGATCGGGGTAATATACTCGGCTCTTTTATGAGTGGCCCGGGTGGAACGAATTACTATAATTTGGCGCCACAGTATTGGAGACTAAATTTACACTCGGTATGTCCAGTCGACTGGGATGGAATGGAAACAAGGGTTAGGTTAGGTTAGGTTAGGAATGGGTGGCTGGATTTCAGCGTGGTGCCCCATTACCCACGGGGATAGGTGACAACCGGGCGACCACAAAGTTGGGCGTGGGCAATACAGACGGGACGGAGATTTCTGGAGTTGTAACGAATGCGGATCAGATCAGAGCGGAAATAATGTACCCAGACCGTAATGAAATGACTTTGATGAAACTTTTGTGATGAATTCCTAAATTGAACGCGAAAATGATTTTTATTTCGATGGAGATAATGGGGTAAAGTTTACGCTGTAAACATTGAATAAACAATTAGAAGTATATTTTGCATAGCGAAGTTTATTTCGCATAAATACTTCAACCCATAAGAAGCTATATCCACGAAGAATGGCTATACATTTGCGACGAGAAATGCTAATACAAATATTCTCAGTCGTAGCTAATTGGCATAATTCACCCATTTACTACACACTATTGTATTTCTGCGAAGTCAACGGAATTGATTTGATTTGAATTTCATGTACAAATCCTGACGGGTCGACTTCGCAAGATTTTAGACATGTCATTATTACAAAATTACGAACTACATCAAGAGTATTTTATTTTGTATAGTATAGTAGTAGTGTAACAATATTTAGTAATGTTGCGAATCTATATGTAATTCGACATCCAGTTGTGAAAGTGTGCTGTAAACCGGTACGTTTAATATTTAGCAATATTGCAAATTGCAGTCAGTTTATTTACAATATTGTAGTCAAATTGTAGTCAATTCTACACCCAATTATTAAACTGCTTCTTTACTCATCTACGTGCGTATGTATTTATGAGCTCAATTAAAAAAAACGATGCTTTGCAGATATTCTACTACTTACAAATATTCACAAATATCTACATATTTTCTACAAATTTCATGTCAGTGCTCTCTCGGAATGGAGTATGGCATACTTGCGGAAATTGTCTCCATTTCCTTCTCTTCATCGTGTACGTTTTTCTCATCCTTCCCCCCAACTTTGGCGCCTCTTCCGAAACTATTTCGCACATCGACACTCCAACTTCTCGTTTTGCCGGCGAGCTTACTCGGAAGGTCGTAGCAACCGAATCCGACGCCAAGGAGGATTCCGTACACGCCGTAGACGACGTACTGGTCGCGAATTGGGAGGTGGAATCCGTGCCGCGAGGTGACCGCCATGGTCAGAAGGAGGTGAATGATGCACGCCGTGAGTGTATTCATGCCAAAGATGAAGGCTTCGCTTTTTTCGCGGATGGATTCTGCGACTTGAGATCTGTGCAAAAAAAATTCTGGTACATAGTAAAAAAAAAGTTGAGCAAAATTGCCACAAGCACAACTACTGAGTAAAATTAATCCCGCTAAACTTAAAATTTACTCAAGGTTGAGCAAAAATCTGTCAAAGTTGGAGAAATTTTAACTTTTGTTGTGTATCTTTTACTCAATAGTTGTCTTGGTGGCAATTTCGCTCAAAATTGAGTAAATTTTACTCGATTTTTTTAGAGTGTAATAATTAATTTTAAATTGTCACTATCCGGTAACAATTTTGTTACCGGGGGATTATCAACAACAGTGATTTGGGCACTGTTTAGAAATATTCGAGCTACATATGAGGTTATTTTAAATTTGCAATAATTAACAACTTTTATTTAAACCTTAAAAATCATTTAAATTAATGGAAAACCAATAAATTTTGGGGGTAAATTACTCAAATTAAAATTGCAAATCTTACAAGAAAAACGGAGAATTTGCTAAAAATACACGGTATGTTTTCAAATTTCAAACATAAGGACAATTAGCTTGAAAATAGTTAATTACTAAAATACAAATCTTCAGAAAAGCTATATGCAAATTTATAAAGAGAATGAATAGAAATTTTGTAAAAATATAAAATCTTTCAAACTACTCACTTTGCAATGATGACCAAAACCTGGAACATGGTCTGAAACAGGATGAACATTGCATAGGCGACGTACAAGTCATGCGTTTTTGCCATGACGAACAACGCGACGCCCTGGAGGACGGTCGACACGCCGAAGACGAGGCAACCCCACTTGATCCAGCACATCTTTGTTCGCCCAACAATTAGACCCAGAACAACACCTGCGAGAAAAAGAAAAAATCATTACACCCATTCTTTGTGAGATTCAATTCGCACTTATTTATGGTACGAAATCCCCCGAAAAATTAAGGAACTTTGCATATCCCGGGGTTTAAAATCTTCCCGGGATTTAGTCTTAATTAAGAGTGTCGACACGATTCTATTCTGTGATTTAGATCATCTTCCCGGGTAACAATGGGCATTAAATGAAGTCCCTTCATGTGTCCTATCTCATCCGTCTGTCTGTCTATCCATATTCAGGATAACTTTAGACTGGATTCTAACTTCGACACGGGGTTTCACTTCTTTGCTACATATCACGTGCAACGGTTTATTTCGAAACAATTGGATTGATAGACTGTTTGGCGAAAGACGATTTGGCGAAAATTTATTTTTATTTCACCAAATGGTACTTTTAAAACCTTGCACTAAAAATGTCGTAGAGTGGCTGAAATTTTTTCTTCGCCAAATGGGATTATTGTTTGGCGAAAAAAATTCGCCGAAACTATTTTCGCCAAACGACGAAAATAAGGAAGTCGGACGTCCAACAATTGACCCATCTTGCAAATTTTCGAGCTAAAATTTGCAATTGTGACCTTACTGATGATAGCATGAGACGCGTGGACCGCTCCGTTGTACACGTTTTGGTGGGAGTGGTGCTCAATCTCTTTCCAAAGTCCTTCCACGTATAGATCGACCTGAATGTAGAGTCCGTACGACATTGCCCACCAGACCGACCACTTATGATGTTCCGATCTGTGTAAGTATAGATCAAATTGTTCTTCCAGTGGGTGGGGGCTTCGCGCCACCGTTGTAGACGTGAGGGTTGCTTTTTCAGACCAACATTTCTCGTGTAGTCCAGGCCGGTGGGAATTGGAGATGGCGCCGGTGCTACGAGAGTAATTAAGGTTTGCAAAAATGTGTATGAAATTATGTAGGTAAATTTTCGAAATTTAAAATTAATTTAAACCATTAGTTTACACAAGCAGAAATTTAAAACTTGCGAAGTGAATTAATTTGTAACTGGTAGAAATTTAAATTGTTTTGCTTAAATTGCTAAATTGTTAAAATTGTTTTTTTTAATTTTTATTCCCTAATCGAATTACCGTGTAACTAAAATTTGAAAATTCGCGGAACACCTTTTCTTTTATAGCTATAGACTAGCCTAATTTCTACTACAGTTGCTAGCGAGCAATTTGCTAAATTAATTTTCAACACTGGAAAGTATGAAATGCATTTGAAAATCAAATTAAAAATTTTCTGTCAAAATTTTATTTTTAAAGTTCCTACCTTTCTCATCCTTCTCATTAAGTTTCATGGGTTGTTCCGCATCGTTTTCGTCCCCCATTTGGGCCTTGAGTGCCTTCTCCTCCTCCACGTCGCGCAGGACGCGTGGGAGCAGGAGGGAAAACAAGAGGGCGCCTATCCCCCCGCCCAAACTGAGGTAGTTGAGCTCCTCAAAGTCCATCAGGTTGAAGGAGATGAGCAGCTGGCCCGTCATTCCGGAAACAAACTGGCCAAAATGGATGGCCGAATGGGTGTAGGATGTGACCCGTTTGTACTCGTTTTTCTCTATGTTGGCGTACATGTAGGTGAAATAGGCGACCTCCGTAGTAGTGACGGAAAGTCCGTAGAAAATTTGGCGGAGCTGGAAATCAAAGAAAACTAATGTGAATTTGATGATCGAATTGTAGAGAAAAGTATGCTTATAATTCTAATCAAGTGAGATACCAGCTTAGCAATATTTCCCCAAAGGAATATACATTTCTGGTGTAATTTATGCTATAGGACGAGGTACATAGTTTTCAAAATTTACTAAGAAGGATTTTATATTTGACTCGATTATTTACATATTTACCTGATTTATTACAAATAATAATTAATTATACGCTAAGTTTTGATCGGTCACTCCAGAACAAATTTGTTCCTTGGAGTTTAAGTGGGGGCTGTACATAAATCACGTGATCGATTTTGGGGGGGGTTAAGGGATCCTATCCTCCCCCATCTTAATTATAACATAAGCATATAGGTCACCAGGGGGTAGGGGTAAAAATTCGCCGAAAATCGCTCACGTGATTGATGTACAGCCCCTAGCAAGAAATAAAAGAAATAGTACCCCCGGGGATAGTTTATAAATCCTTACCATATTATTTAGTGTGTATCATGTTACGGACAAATTTTAGTTTTCAATTTTTCTAATTTTTACAGCCTAATTTTTTAAATTGCTAATTTTATATAAATTATTTACTATATCGAGAATATGGTAAAAACGTTATTTAAATAAATCCATTTAACAAGATGAACAAATTGCTAAAATTTTGTAACCAAAAATATCAATTTTATTCATACCCGTGCCAAATTGATGCTGTGGAACCCCCAGATCGTGATGACCCACGTGATGGTATTGTACACCCCACCCGCCACGATGATGGGTTTGTAGCAGAGGACGTCCGTCACCATGAGGAGGAGGATCAGAGACACGATGTACGACCCCGTCGTGGCTGGAAGGACCTCGTGGGTCATCTGAAATAAGAATTAGAGAACTGGTTGATTAAGTTGTACATATGTAAATAGATACACTAAAAATACCGTGGTGACAATTTGTCACCACGGTATTTTACTGGTGAACTATTCACCACTAAAATATGGGTTTTCTAAAATATGTTGCGTGTAGCTAATAAGTATCAAAGTTGTGGTTTCTACGAAATACGTGTTAATCTTAAACTGACTCATTTTAAGAAAAACAGTTTAAGAGGATAATCTACACTACGAAAAAAAAATCAACATTTTAATTCGTTGTCTTATCAACAATCTTGGCAAAACATGACAGGTTTTCGCAGCGAGGTTTACGGATTTTAGGAAGTTGACGTGAATTACCCGCAATTATTTGTATGCAATAAAAACTTACCGCGTTTCAGACTACAAACTTAATAGTGCAACAATAACGAAATAAAACTTGATTTTGTGGAAATTATCGTAATAATTTGACAATAAATTGTAAACAACGCAAGTATGTATGTATGCGCTTATATACCTGGAAAGGTATAGCGATTTGTCCACGCATTGTTTTTAGTGTACAGATTTACATATGAAGCTTCTACACTTCGCATGTGTATGTATCTGATCTGGTATTTGTATCATGTTATTTACAAACGGCGTTAAGTAATTTTATCCCCTTTTCAATTTGAAATTAGAATACTAGAGTTATTAGTAGTCCAGATTTAAAATTAATTAAATTTTGTGAGATGGTGTATAAAACTTAACAACATAATTGTCTCAAGAAAAGTCTACCCAAAAATTTGTAACTACTTGTAAGATTACAATTTTTTAACGTCCTTACCGTTAATCTGATAAGGGAAAAGGTATGAAAATACCATTTTTAAAAGCATGAAAATCAAATAGTTACCAATCTCTAGAAATTACCTGTTCTCCCGTGAAGTTTTTATGGTCGACGGCATAATCGACAAGGAATGGTCCCGAGGGACGGAATTCTTTTAAAAGTCCGACCATGATAAGGACCAAAATTGCAGCTTTCCATTTACACCGCTCCTTCATGATGATGACTTTCTGATTTGAACTATATTTCTTCGAAATCTTGTAAATTTATTTCTCCAGCTTGATTTTTGACACCTCCAAAGCCATAGATTTCACAAATCTGCCTCACAAACGTTTCGCGAAAAGGGACACTTTATTTATGCAAAATTTTTTTCGCAAAAATCCGTACGCACTAATTTTGCACCATTCCCATTTCACCATCAAGTTGAAACTGATGATGAAAATTCTTTATCTTGACAATGTTGACGATGATCAATCATCATCATCATCTTCTTGGTATGCACTTCACTCCAGGGCGAACTCCTTAATGACTGGCATCCTTGCAATTGAAAAATAATATTATTTTCTTGACGACTGTACGAAAAGTATGCGATAAGTTTGTAGATTAAGGACCAAGATATCCCATCCTTCCCGTGATAATAATTGCGTGCTAAATATGTAGCGAAAGGGGCCAAAATTGTGCGAGAATCGAGCACGTTCTTTATGCACGGCCCCTCGTCTGTACATGCACATCCAGACAAAGAATTTGCTGAGGTGAAGAGGAACAGAGCGAACCCAGCCAACTTTTTTTTGCTTGGTTGGTGACTCTGTACTGGCTTTTAATGTCTTGAAGAAGGTGAAGAATTGGGCAAAAAATGTTATAACAAAGCCAGATGGTGGTCGTGTAGGCCCTTATTATTTGGTGAATACTTGTAACAATAAACGCATTTTACAAGGTAGGCAAGAAGAATGGGATTATTATTGAGGATAGTGGATAAGTTGGCAACCGGTTCTCCAGCAGGAGAAGAAGGCAGAGAAGGCAGACTAAGAATGTGACGTCAAGGGAGACGGGTTTACGTTTTTATTGGGGTGCAAGGGCAACAGATTTGGTGGGGACATTGTTGGGTAGCTGTACTTTGTATGGACAGTTTAAATGGAATGACAATTTTCGGTGTTTCATAAAAGGAAACAGTATTTACATACACTCTTAAAAAAGTATGTAATGACTCAAAAAATAATAAATACTAAAAATTATACCTAATCTAAATTTTGTGTAATATATACTATACCGAATTCAGAATAAACTTTACAGTTTGTTAAATTCAATTAAAGTTTACTTTACTGGATTAAGTGTATTTTACTGCACTTGTAGTTTGTAATTACTTTTCGAAAGGGTAACATTATTTTTAAGAGCGTACGAATACGAGCATTTAATCTTTTAACGTCCCCACGGCGTCCGCGGCCAGTTTGAGTCTAAACAACCTTGACACTTGATATACACAGTGCTACGATACAAATCTTGTGCCTGCATGCATCCAACTAACTAATGTAAAATCAATATAATATAATATTTCTCACAAAAAATGATGTAGGCGAGTATACACTTCTTGCATGTAATAAATTGTGCAAACTGTAATCTCACCTGCAGAGTAAGTAATGAACACTACAAACGTTCACTGCGACGACGACATGCTATCCCACCAAATTCAGTAAAATTGGTCGTGATTATGACAAATTTATCGTTTTGGTCGACATACCTGTGGAGACGAATGAATATACACGAAAAATCCATACAGACCTCTAAATAAGTGCCAAGTTCAGAATGACTTTGCTTTTTGTGCTCTCTGGTTCCAAAGTAAATGTCAAACAAGTCTGGTTTCGGATGAAAATCAATATTGCGCAGAAACCGTTTATGTGCTTTTGCATAGGTAGAAAGCTAATAAAGCTTTCTCCAAAACTGCCTGACTATGAGTCATGATGGCGGATTAAATATTCATTGCCATTTTTAGCAAATAAAAATGATGAAATGTTTGCCTTCTGGTTTGATCGATAGGGAAATTTGGCGAAGGAGAACATAATGCAAACAGTATTAACGGAGTAAACAAACAGGGGGGATATTTAACATTTTAGGGTGACGTTTATTAGTCTGAGGGAGGATTATAAATATAAAGGAATAAAATATAGAGTAAAATATAGAGTAATAAAATTACCTTAAAAACTGTCGAAAAATTTTTCTCAATCCCTGAGTCACTTGTTAAAAATGAGGAATGTGTTTCTTTAGTAAATTTAGTGTTTTTGGTGTGGTATGAAAAATTTGGAAATATGTCCATCTAACAAACTGTAGTAATCAATAACTGTAATAAGTATGTATAAATGATATTAACATATGTAAACTATTAACAGTAATTATTTAATAACAATAATCGACAAGAAATAATTCCGTTAGTGTAAAGTTGTGTGATGTAATAATTTTCACGGTGGAATAAAGACTGACAAAATGATGGCTTAAATCTGAAGTAAATATGTGTCCAGAATGAGGTCACATATGTACGAAAGTCGGAAGCTGAGGTTAGATCGATGTTGCGATTTTTTGATGAAATCCTGCCAAAAAGTTACACATGCGGAACACGAGTTTCGGTGGGGTGCAGTTGGCAGGCAGATTTTCATAGTCGTTCTTTTCATAGCTCGTTTTTACATGGTCGACTCGTTTACATGAACGAGTTAATGTAAACTCCGAGTAAAATGCAACTTTGTTACTGTGCATGCAGGGACTTGGTATTGATTAGCGAGGTAAACTTGGGATATTTCGCAATCTTGAATTTTGTATGTTTCAAGTTTTAGTAAGTCTACTGAATTCCTCCTCCCACTAGACTTATCTATAATATTCCCTAATGCATTTTATTGCACCTAATTGTACTCCTGAAAGGATTAATATTCCATCATACAAATGTAAAACCTTAAAAAACTGTGAAGTCAGAACTTAAGTAGGCATATTTTTTCACAAACATAAAGCATACATGCGCAATCTATATGCCTCTGTACATTTCAATTTTTTGAATTTGGCCGCGGTCACGATTTTAAGCCTCAAACCTGTCCTTGGCGAAAAATTCCTGTGTACGTCAAAAAAAATGCACAAGGTCGTATGATAGCTCATTTTTCTCATAATCGCATGTAGTATCCAATAAAAAATATTGGAAAGTCGAAAAGAAATTATCCATAAAGTTTTATTTTTGGCCTCTCATTTTTAATTGGTAAAAAAATTCTGACCCTTGACCTGTCAGAAAAATTAAAAATCGGCGACGCGGAATTAATCGCCAATGAGTTTATACAGCTGCGTGCAGAGTTCCAAAGGTCTAAATGCTCGGGATCCTAACGAGATTAAAATAACGTTACCCTATGATTAATTTTGTTACATACTGTATGTAAGTGAACGTCGTACTCAAAAATATATTTTCCCAATCTTTAACTCTATCCGGGCAGGGGGCAAGTATCCAAATTTTTCCAATGCCACCACACAACTCCATAGGTGGCCATGTCTACCCCCAATGTGAGGAGGGGATGGGTATTTTGCAGCTGCCAAACCCCGAGAGATTTTACCAGCGGGGTCACCTCGATGCTTGTCACGACCAAATTGATCACCATCCAGGTCGCAAGCGTGTCAGCGTCCCGCTGCAAAGAAAGTTGGGAACACAAAGATTTTAAAATTTGGAGATATGCATAAGTAAATTTGTCAATTACAAAATTCACAAAGAAACAAATATAATTTGATTGTAGCCTCTTTCATATTACTGATTTTTATATAAAGTTTTCCTGGATAATTTCATAATTAAATTTGATTGCAAACGAATAAAATTGTAATTTCCATGTAAAAGACGAAATATTTATATCGTCCAGTTTCCTGTTTTTAAGTTTCTTCACGAAAAACAATACAACTCCGATTTATGACATTGTTTGGTATAGGGAAAATTCTAAAATTAGCGACGAAAAATATTCCAAAAATCGACTTTTTGAAAAATCGCATATTTTCCAAAATCCCTTCTCTGAGTCAATAAATTTTGAGAATTTGTAAATTATAATGCAAAATAAATACGAATTATAACAAATTAACGATAAAATTACCTCGTACACTGCCCGACCTAATCTATAGTTCCAATATAGCATCATCGCGTGATAGGTGGGGGATGTCTGAAGGTTTTCGTAAAGGTCGTGGTTAATTTGCAAAAACGTGGGTGCATCACCTGTAATTAAATTATTTTTAGCAAATCTATACTTCATCCTTAAAAATAACAAGGAATCAAATCATGTGCGAATTATTTTCCTTACGTAACCCAGGTATTGGGTGGTTTAGTACGTTACAACCTCTATTCAACTTATATTCATAATCTGCAATACTTGACATGAAAATGTAAGTTATCCACATTAAGAGGGAATTCATCACCTAAGAAAAAGATTTACTTTACTAAATTTATTAATAGTTAACCTTTTAATTCGGATGGAGGGCAGCTTTCGTTTTGTTGGAAATGATTAATTCGGGAGGAAGACAAAAGTGTGGTGATTTCATTGCGCTACATTCGTTTATGGAAAATTATTAATTTTAACGATTTTCAACCTGCGGCGTCATTTTGGTGGATTTCTCCTATGCAAAGTGAATTTTAAATTTCAACATTTTCTTTTGGAAAAATGGGATATTTGAACTATTATACATATTTCCCCATGCTAAATTGTGCATCTTTATTTTTTTAGTAAAGCTACTGCATTCCTCGTCCCGTTCCATGAGCACGAAACTTATAATGTTCCCTAATTAATGCATTTTCTTGCACCTAAATGTACTACTTAAAGGGTTAATATTCCGTAACCCAAATGAATACACTCTTAGAAAATGGTATTAAAAAATGAGTGTTATTGATATATGACTACCGCTTTGGTATTAAACGGCTGTACTACCCTGGTATAGATTCGGTAATCAAATAAATACAACATACATATGCGGTAATCATTTTATTATTAGGTGATATTAAATTTGGTACCATATGGTATTAATTTTTTAAATTATTACCAAATCATCACCAAGGCGGTAAAGTCACACAGTAATACCGCGTTTACTGATTTTATTAAGAATGTATTTACATATCTACGCTTAGAATGAAATATCAACACCATCAGAACATATGTATACATATATACGCATATAGGAAATTACGACGATAAAGTGTAACAAATTTATTGAATGACTTATATACTCTTTAATAAAATTTGTCCAACTTAATTTAATTTACTCACGGCACAAACAAGCATTTTGTTATTTAAAAAATGGGCCAATTTGAGCCCCAGTTTTGTCTAACTTTTCGAATTAAAAAACTCGATAACATGAGTAAGTAAATTGGGTACTCTAAAATCTATTTCGGCAATTTTTAACTCGGGAGGCGATTATGCAAATTTTTCCAATGCCACCACACAACTCCATTTGTGGCCAGGTCTTCCCCCAATGTGATGAAAGGATGTTTCTGTTGCAGACGCCAAATCCCGAGCGATTTTACCAACTGGGTTATCTCCATGCTCGTCACGGCCAGATTGATCACCATCCAGGTGGCCAAAGTGTCAACGTCCCACTGCGAAAAAAAGTTGGGAAAACGAAGATTTTAAAATTTGAAAATATGTATGAGTAAATTTGTGAATTAGAAAATTCACAAAGCAAAAGAAATATAAATTGATTGTAGGTCTTTCATATCCCGTGTAAAAATGGTTATGTCGAACTATGCATAATACGTTATATTAACCGTGCATGTTACATTGTGCATAGGAATATGTGCATGTTTATGCATAAATATCATGTCGCTTACAGTATGCATTCTTTTGTGTGTATATTTCTGTAGAATATTTGTGTCGTTAGCTCTATGCATGATTTAATATGCGTAGTTGTGTTAAACAAACGTGTATTTATGGTTGTAAATCTTATTTTGTGCATAATTATGAACATAACTGTAAAATGGACACTTTACCCTGGAAAAGTGCTTGTGCATGTTTTTTCCGTCAGTTTAAATAATAAAACACATTTCAATTCGTTTTAAAAAATTCTTATAATTTTATTCTAATTCAGAACAATTAGGTAATGCGGTGACTATCGCTAGATTTGAAGCTTGATCATATTGACATATGTATTTCGTATTTTCAACCAGATTAGCTAATACTATCTTTACCGATTGTCCAATTTGAAGAACCTTGTATGAAGTCGCTGAAAATTTCCATTCAGTTACACTTAAACGTTTAACTAACAGAATACCATCGGATCCATTAATAGATACAATGTGAAGAATAACGTATAAATTGGGGGTAATTTTAACAATTGAGTTGTTTCGTTTCTTAGTTTCCTTTTTACTGGTGTGAAACATTTTACCATTAATTATAACAGAGTTGTAGCAAAAGCCATCATTACAATCGAATCCCATTTTTGCTAAGTCTCTTCTCGTGACTGCTAAAAATATACAACTTTTTGGCACCGAGAAACGTACATGATTTGGTTTTAAGCGATTTGTGATAATACTTCCGGCTTTCCGTATTTGATAAATAATAGTTTTTTGCCATCAAATTTGTAAAAGAAACAGTTGATAGAGCGAACATTCTTTGAGAAATAATTAATTTCTTTGAGATTTGTAGTCCGACCTCTGTGGTTCCAGAATAACTGTTAGTTAAAACACCATTATAGTTTTCAAATTGGAATAATGAGTATGCCCAAAGGGGTCCCCAGTTTTTTACACATTCAACTGAATGAGAGACAAGATGCATATTAAACGAACAGTACGAACTATCGTATAAGTCTGGAAGAACTACACAAAATTGCTTGATTAAATTATGTGCTATTTCTAAATCCGGTTGAGTAATTACGTCTTTACAAAGAATAGTAATAGCGGTAACAAACTTGGAAAAATGTTTAAGATAAGGTGGGCTTAAAATTCCTTCTAATAGAGGCACAGCTACAATCATCCAAATTTTCCATTCGTGTGCTTTCCAATATTTAATATCCTTCACTTCTCTCAAAATTCGTTGGCATTCTACTGGTAACTTACATAAATTTATTCTACAATTAATCGCAATTTCTTGGTTCCCAATATAAAATGGTAAATTGTGATTTTTGCTGTCTAACCATGCGCACGTTAAACTACGAACAACGCCAAGCAAACACGTATGCATGTAGTCGAAAATAAATCCGTTTACCATGTCAAACTTTGGGAGCAGGATTAGTTTTGATGGGGCTTTAATTCCGAACACGTTGGTGACGTTGTTGTCATTACATAACGAATCCCGGAGTTGACGAAGATGTGATTTGAAATTTTCCTGAGTTCTGGATTGCTGAGCCTTTTTAGCTGGGAATATCCACTTGTGCCTTCTTTCATCAATCCAATAAGTTTCACCTTTTTCTAGACACCACGGGCAGCTAAATTCACCATTGTACTGATTTATGCCCTGCAATTGGCATCTAGCAGGCGAGTCAGCCGCGACCATTGGAAAGTACACATTACTGATAATCGCTTTGCCGTCTAAAGTCCAGTTTACACCGTCTGTAGCAAGCTGCTTTGATTCTTCCAGGAATGGTTGAAGAAAAATTTCAAAATTAGGCTTCTTATCGCCGAACCATAATCCAACTAATAACGTGTGCTTCCGACGTAATTGGTAAGGCAATTCGTTGATGGACAGCAAGATTGGCCAAATGGAAAAACGGGATGAATTAAAGACCGAAATTCCATCCGAGTTAACAACAAGTTATATCGAAATTTTTTAGACCCAATTTTTTATATGATGATCCATCCATGATGTCCTTGAGCTGTGTTTCGGATCTGGTTCGTCGCTCGATAAGACTTCCGTACAAGGCTCGCTTTATTTCTTCGTGCTGGAGAGTAGATTCAATTGTCTGCTTAACACCCAATGAAAGAAAATATTTCCCACCCTTAACTAATTGTCGGATGTCGAATTTGTCTCCACAGGCTTGACAGGTTTCAGATATCAAAACTGAACTACATCTCTCACAATAACAAATTTTCTTTATGGCACCGATATCGATTCCCAGTAATTTCTCAGCCAGATAAGGTGATGTTGCCATGCTGTCCCCTTTTGGTAAATGAAAATTCAGAAGAGTGAGCAAGTCGGATAAGGCAGATTTAGATAATTTGTGGCGATTTGCAAATCCATACACCATAGGACAACTTTCTATAACAGAAATCTTCGCCCCATTAAATAACATGGACGATTGTCCCTTCACAGGTACCTGCAGAAAATAGTAAACATGGCATGACAATTTTCAAGTACTTGCAGCGTATTTATTTGTACATATTTTGAACTAACAGATTCGGGCATTTCATCATCATTTAATTCACCTTCGCTTGAATCGGTGTGCCTTTGAAATGTTTCCTCCTGGGTAAATAAAATTACAAAAAATTAAAGACATTTTCAGACCGAAATAAATCGATTGCAATTATCCTCACATTTTGGTCAAACTGTAAGTCATCCTGCTCATACGTTGTCCTTGGGGGTGTACCCACATTAGCGGAAGAAAGTGTAGTTTTATGTTTGCCAGACTAAATTATAAAGAATAAATGTTTTTTTTCATTATTAATAAAACCACGTTAAAATTACAAAAGATATGTTGAAATAACTTGATCTCGACAATAAAATTTACCTTCTCCAAGATACGGTGAGTTGTCCTGCGAGGAAGTTTGAACCCCCCTCGTCCCGTGGGAGAACGAAAATAAGTTTTATAACTTCTAATTTTTGACATTATTATTTATTGTACACATATGATCTAAAATCCCGAAATTTCTTTCATCTCTTTTAACCCCTCAACTGAACCGGCTACTCCAAAATGAGGAACTCGTGCCATATATAAATTTACGACTCATCTTTGTCGACCACAACAAATTCCCTCAAATTAAAAAAATAACTGGCATGCAGTTCCTCCTTGTTGAGTGGGTGGAGGAACCAAAGACCTATTCAGTAGTGTCAAAGGATAGACTAATCGACGGTACTTTACGTGCCTTATCAAAAGAATTGATCGGAAAAGTAGTTGGTGTTTTCTGGAGAGGAAAGAAGGTTTTCATGTGCACAATTCTTGAAACAGGTAAACACGCTGTTATCAAAATTTATGTATTTTAATTTGCATCTATTGAATTTTTTACGTACCTAAATACGCCAACTTAATTTGGTCTTTGGTCTCGGTTTTAGGTGAAATTGAGGGACAATTGACCAAGCGGGCTGATGAGCTAGCATTACTTGCTGAAGTTGACTCCGAACGCATAAATGCATCAAAACCACGTAATTAGATTTTAGTTTACAAATTAATTTCAGTTGAATACGAAACAAACTTGCTGTTTCTAATAATATTGTGGTCCTTTAGTGACTGAATCTTCCATTCAGCAAAAATCGAAGGGCCGGCCGCGTAAGAAGGCAGTCGTGAATACAGTTCGTGTTATTGACGAAGTACTGGGTCAACTCGATCACGTGGATGCCGATGCTCAGGATCAGGATGTGGATATTGCCGAAAGTCAGCCAAATATAAACAATGCACAACAAGAAGACGGAGAAGAATACAAAGGTGTTATATGTCGTTTACTAAGATTTGCAGCCGCATTAATCAATTTATGCATATTTCATTTAGAAAAATATAGAGCCCTCAAGCAGAAATATAAAGCCCTAAAGAAGACGCACAAAGCGCTAAAGCGATCAACAAATAGCGAGGCAGAGGTACATAAAAACCGACTAATACTCATTCTTGGTGCATTTACCGACAAATTGCACATCTGTCTTAATCAATGCTTTTATTCCAGATCGAAATTTATCCGGGTAGCGGTGTCATGATCAATGCAGGCGAATTAGCATCCATAAAGTTGGTGTCAAGGGAGCCCACCATCACAGCTCGTAATTTATTTCGTCGACTCTTTACAGAGGAGGAACTTTCGACGCATTCACTGTTTGGAAAAAAGTGTAATGCCAATAAGGATGCAGTTCCTCTGCCTCGAATTGACCAAATTAGGTCAAATGCTGTACTAGGTATGAAAAAAATACGTAAACCTAAATTTGTATTGCCTAAATTCTTAAAAGTATGTATCATTTATTAGCTATATCTTCGCCGAGGCTGGAGTAGATGGGCCTCCGCCAGCTGATTTAAGTGCATTAGAACAAAAAACATACAAGAAAAAGAAGAAAGCCCTTCGAAGAGAAGTTGTCAAGTCCCTGTCAGAATTTCTTCGCGCAGAGGCTCGTAAAATTAATTAGCAAATAGTCGTTGGCATATTTAATTGTGCAGAATATTTGTACTGAAATAAAAATAACCTTGAATCCGACATACAAATGTGTTTCAATATTTGTGCATAAATAATCAACATAAATAAAAAGGCATTGAGATTTGTGCATAGCCGGTCGTGTATAACAGGTGTGCATACACTAGTATGCATAAACTGGTATGCATAAACGGGTATGCATTCCCGAACTGTGCATGACAGACTGTGCATAAAATTGGGCCAATATGCGACATACGTATTATGCATAACTCGACATAAACTTTATGCATAAATAAGTGTAAAATTTCCACACGGGATTACTGATTCTTATATAAAATTTTGCTTAATAATTTCATAATTGAATCTGATAGCAAACGAATAATATTTTAATCTCCTGTAAAAGAGGAAATATTTATTTCATCCAGTTTCCATTTTTCGAGTTTCTTAAAAAACACCAAAAATTCCAATTTTAACACTGGTTGGTATAGAAAAAGTCAACTTTTTTCAAAATCGCATTTTTTGTAAAACTACATTCCTTGATCCCATAATTTTTTTCAAATTTGAGAATCATTGTTCAAAATAAGTATATTGATTGATTGATTGATTTATTGCAAACAAAACTCTTATCGGGCATAGCCCATAGAGCCCCAAAATAATTTCATCAAATCATATATAAATAGAATGGATTCTTGGAATTTTACTAAATCTATAGGTTAGTTGTGTTAATTTTATATCATTATCTAAAGTAAAATAAAATAGACTATTAAGTTAATTTATGGCAATTTTGATATACGAATAATAAATATTGTTACTTATTTACTTAGATACTTAATTAACATGGTCCATCTTCAGGCATATTCTTCTTAGCCCCTTTCGGTCAGCCATCTCATTTATATTTTTGCGTAATTTTAATAATATAACTAATCACAAACTAACTAGTCAATAATCCTATATTATCAAAATAAGTATATATTACGAATTAGTGAAAAATATTACCTCGTACATTGCTCGACCTAATCTATAGTTCCAAATTGGAACTTCCAATACAGCATTACGCCATGATAGAGTGGCGATAGCTGAAAGTTTATGTAAAGGTCGTGGTTGAATTGCAGTAGCGGGGGTGCATTATCTGTAAGTTATTTATTCAGTAAATATTTACATATTTCAAAATTAAAAATAGCAGGGCACCAAATCATCTTCGAACTATTTCTACTTACATAGTTATTGGGCAGTTATTTGTCATACATAGCATATCAAGATTATCTCGTTGTGTGTTAAGAAACACGGCAACCACCATTCCAAAGAAAGCCATCATTTAAGAAACAGATTAAAATATTTAACCTTTTAAATAAATCGGATAGAGGAGAATTGTCCTTTTCTTGGAAATGGTTTAATTCGTGAGGAAGGCAAAAGTCGTCCTGAAAAATTGTGGCCATCGTGCGGGAGGAAGACAGATGTCCTTTCCAGGAGGTCATTGATTTTCACCAGTTTCTCCCTGCGCCGGAAAACTCTATCAGTTTGGGGGATTTCTCCTATGCCAACGAAATGTTAAATTTGAACACTTTCTTGGAATTTGAAATTTCCTAATATTATGCAATGTTAAATTTAGGATTTTTCAGTTTTTGCGAGGTTTATTAAAACTACTGAATTCCACCTCCCGCGCCATGACCACAACATGAATTATACTGAATCATACTCGTTAAAGGGTTAATTCTGGTATGATTTTTACCAGGAGAAACCATTTTTACATGTAAAGCTTATGGCGGGCTGGGGTCTTCTTTTCAAAAATCAAACCGTCGGTCGAATCGAATTGGAGAATATCTTGCATTCTAATCATACTCTTGTGAAAATAGACTTACCGAACGTTTCACCGGGACAGCGATAAGTACCCATTCCGTGATGGTCAAACTATCCTTGGAAACCGTGATTAGATCCTGGCTACAACCCTTAATTGAGTCAGTTATCGCTAAAACTAAATATTTAGCTTGTATTTATTTAATATTTACTTAATAACTAAAAAGTATATTAGATTTTACTGGCTCTTTGATGGATTAGTGCATTTCCACAAGTGTTCATTACTATCTTGTACATAGGTTACTTATTTATACTCTCTGACAAAAATGATAAAAAATGCACCTATCTCTATTTTTATACACTGCACCTTTTATTACTCACCTTTTTTAGAAGAGGTCGATTTTCAGGGTCACTGCAATTTCCAACATACTTGAATTCTTGTTTTTTAAATAAGTCGTAAAAAGGTTAAAAAGTAACCCTGCTCATCAAAGTGAGCAAAAAAGGAAACTAATAAAGTAAATATTTATCTTTATGGTTGATTGGCTTTAAACAGAGTGGTGTAATTTTAAGTTGACGGATCTACCTGTATTGCGTAGATTGGAGTAAAGTCAGACAAAGTTTGAAGTAGTGGTCTCAACGGTCCGGTTCGGTCCAAGTTCGGTCCTTAACCGGACTGAACCGGTTAAGAATCGAGAACCAAAATTACAGAACCGGACCTACCTGGATCCGGTTCGGTCCGGTTAGGCGGCCATTGAGGCGGCCATTAATCGTGACTATGATGTAGTCATAATTAATTTATGGACTAATTAATTTATGCACATTGACAAAAAAGAAAATATGGGAAAATTATGAAGTCTCACATGAGATTCAACATGCAGAAGTTTATAAACCAATTCGTAAATTGAGTCAAAATGATCGGTCCGAATGAACCGCTAATAAGCTTCGGTCCGGTCCAGTTCTCCGCGGTTCCGGTTCGGTCCAGCTAGAACCGTGAGACCACTGGACACATTTAATCCTTTTTCCCTGCACCCACTTGGCGCAACGGGTCACCAAAATATTAATTGACGTACGCCCCTTCAATGACCTGCATAAACTAAAATTTCGTAGTTATTAATTTACAACGAAAAACTCCTTGATTTGCTGGACGTGTAAAAATGTGCATTTTCAAACTGCGAGGTGAATCATTCGCATGAAGAATTCACCTAGTATGTAAATCTATGTATATAGATTTGCATCATGGAAATGCGTTTCTTTTTAAAATTAAATAACTTTAATGTAAACAGCAGAAAGTACTCAACTACTAGAACCAAATTGTACTTTCTACTGCTGGGTTTAAGGATGGACCCCATGAGTCATCACCGCGCGTCTCTTTCTACCCCATGTGTCATGCTTCATTACGGATAATTTAAAATTAACTCTTCGCCGTTTGTCTTCAATTAAATTTATATAGTATTACTTTTAAAAATTCTATATTTTTAACTTAACAAGTTTTCAGTAAGAAAACGTGACACATGGGGCGCAATGAGAAGAGCGATTATGACTGATGGATTCCAGCCTTATGAACATTGGTGAGAAATTCTCACTGATGACGTGACTCTCACTGCGAATCATGTCTGACATGTGCATACCTGAGTAAGAACTGAGAACAAGTTCTGTAGGTAATTATTGGTCAATAAATTTTCCAATTGTATGTGTAAGATCCAACATTTTAAAAACCGAGACTTACATAATTTTAATCTACCCTAACCTACCTCAACCATCTCTGCTGAACTGAACCATCTGAACTGAGGTTTGTAGTTCCTGCTTCAGGTAGTTTTAAGCAGGTTACTTACAAGACCAACTCAACGCAACGAATGTATGTAGAGCCATTAAACGAAAGGAATACGTGTGTTTGCTTTATTGATCAAGTAATGAGCAAATTAGTTAAATCCCAATGTAAAAATTACAAATGTTTTCAGGGTTACCAAACTTAAAAATTTACCAGGATCTTGCTTTATTTTATAGCGTTGTTAAACAATATTTATTTAATATTTAACAACTTAATTTAATAGTTAGTTAGGGATTTTACGTCAGTTCTGCAAATGCAGAAATGTACATGTACATGTAAATGTACATGTCTGTAAGCCAGCGTTTCTTTTTGATGCGCATAATATTGTTTTATGCATTGTGTATTAAATGCACGAAAATGCATAAAAATGCAATCATGTAGGGAATTGAATACCTTCATTTATTTTTCGTATTTAAAAAAATGGACGCTAAAATAGTAAAGTGGTGACCAGGGTTTCGTTTTTGTTGTCCGAAACTCTTTTGCCTGGCCAAAATGGCCAAAAGTGCGCAAAAGTGGACAAAAGTGGGCAAAAGCGGGAAAAACGGCCAAGAGTGGCAGAAAGTGGGAAAAAGCCTCTGATTGGCATAGATCGGAGTTGCATGGCATTGAGTAATTGATTGCCAAGTAATTATTTGTCATAAAGATAATAACAATTAGTGTTAAAAGGTGAGTGTTTCTTAGAAATTATCCATTCACTGTTCCAGCGTCAGCTTGCTGCTCCTGTGTCAGTACATTTTGGCCCTTAGAATTTATACGAACTCGTACATTACAGAAACAGTTTCGATGAATAAGAAAAGCGGTCCGCATTTGGTGCCGTTGTCGCAAGCTGATATACTAGGCAAGAGGATCACATAAATGGTGTGCAAGGATGTATTTGCTGAAATTGGTGGAGGTGGGGAGGGGAGGAGGTTGTACGGCGAAAGGGAGGAGATGATCCGTCCGAAAAGTCATGAAACTATTTAATTATTTCTGGCCACTGACAAGAGTGGTGAGGGAGATAGAAAACTGTTCGCTTTGGGCTCAGTGCAACAACAGTGTGGGCAGGATTTAGACACACATTGAAGGCTTTTTCCCCCTTTCTGCCACTTTTGCCCACTTTTGCCCACTGTCCTGGCCAATTTAGTTTTGGCCACTCGAAACCCTGATGGTGACTGAAATGATAATAAAGATTTCATACCTATTCAAAAATGTTTAATAGAATTGCAAAATTATTCGCAACGAAAATACTTTGAAGCAGTTTCATGCACTTTGCTTGATTTTTGGAACGTGGTATTAAACGTTTCAATACATTTTCATGCATTAATTTCGTGCAGGTGTTTTTGAACAGGAGAAACACTGGCAATTCTTGTTTGCTGAATTAACCGAATTTTTTTCAAGATACAAATCGGGCTTTATTATTCAGTAACCTTGAATTTCGGGAATTCTCTAGTTTATGTTTCAGCCAGAAACTACCTGAATGTTTCAGGTAGTTTCACGTGCTGGATCAAATCACAAATGTACCCCACAACAATGTTGCAACAAAATTTTTATAAACTCCGCGAAATATGTAACCAGGCAGAAAAACTCTGCCAATGACAAGATTTAGTAATTAGCACGTACATAACCTGTCACTGACCAAAGCTGGATGAGATGTAAGATGCATTGATTAAATAAACATTGAGCAGGACAGGGTCATCTTGGGTAAATTTGTTTAGTTATTTATGCAATATCCTGCCAGGTATCAATCTGTGCTTTGATACTGAATTGTGCACTAGCCTGCAGCCCTATTTAATAGCTTGCTTTTTGACATTTTAGTCAAGTCGATATTTGACTACCGAGTTGAGCATAGTTGTTCCTGATTTCAGGTAATTTCAATATATTTAAGAACAAATATAATTACAGGGTGGTCAAAAAATATCTCAACACTGGAACCAATTCTTCCGTTTAATTAGTAAAAATTCGAAGCTATAATGATAATTTGTAGCTTGGAGTTTTAATGGTTTATTGCTTTTTTAAGTCAATTAATTCCTCTAATACCACATTTTTTGGCTATATTATACGTCAAAGTATTAGTGATATTGCATTAGGTGACACTTTCAAATAAAATTTTGGTTTGATTTTTAAAAGAAGAAACCTTTTTTACACGACAGGCTTATCGCCGCCGGGTGTCTTCTTTTAAAAATTAAATTATAATCGGTTTGTTTGGGATATAACGAATTTAAAATTTTTATAGCTTATTAGCTCACCCTGCGTAGCAGAGGAGCTATTGAATTCCTCTTGTCCGTCCGTCTGTCCGTCCGTCCGTCTGTCTGTTAACGACTCTTTTGCACCAATTCATGCTAATTAGAGCCAGTTATTGGCATTCTTGACCGAGTTATTAGCGCCACTGATATCGAACAGTCGGCGACTCAAAATGGTGCGAAACAATTGAGAACATAGATGCTAAACGCACCAAAAGTGCAGAAGAACCGTCAGAAACACCTATGGTTTTGACGTCAAATTTTTTAAGGTTTTATGTCAAAATCAGGGTTTCTCTTCCCTGGTGTATTTTGCACCATTGGTGCAAAATTATATCCCAATTACATATATCTTTGTTCCGCATATTCTGCACCATTGATGTAAAATTTTGCCAAAATTGCGTATTCATTTTCTCCGAATATTCTGTACCATTGGTATAAAATTATACCAAAATTGTTATTACAGGGTGAGCTACTTCTACCGTTACAACGGTTTATTTGGTTTTGTCAAAGCGTTCTTGGGTCCATCTATTATCACTTTAATCATTTTTTTCTAAATATTTCCCCCACTTTAGATAAAAACTCCATATCGCCATACCCTGACGAGGATTATTTTGCATCATCATGTTTCACCAATATTCCGAAAAATTCCAGAAAGTCTGGGGAACCATGGCGTACAAAAACGATCCGGCCACATGCCCCGACCCGTTTGGAGACACGCCTTGGACCTTATCTTCCATCGGGGAAATGCTAACCCGAGGGGAACACGAGATTTACTCTATTGCTGCAAAATCTAACTTTTCTGGCGCTAACGGATCAATCAATCGTCTCGGCAAACCCTATCTACCCTACGACAAGAAATCAATCCTTCCCGACGTTTCTCCACCTCCTTTTCTGAAGGAGATTTTTTCTCGTGTCCGCGACACCGCGCTGCGCGCATGTTTCAAAAATACAAGACTAGATCGAAACATGATTCGCATAATTGATGATTTTGCCGCAGAAAAGGTTAAACCGGAATCTTCGCTCTACCAAATTCAACGGTTCCCGCTTACCCTGGAAAAGGATAGTCTCCCGGCACGAGAGACTTTAAAGGAATATTACGCCGAAATCGGCATAACTGACAAGACAGAATTTGAGGCACGTAGTGTTCGAGATTTCGCCTTGAACGGTTACATCCTAACTTGTCTCAAGGGGTACGATCTTTCCGATCTTTCTGTCGCCGCTTCTGCAATCTGCCTCCTATTCGCCACCGATTATCTCAACATTTACGACGGCTCCAACTTCGGCACGCAGGACGGCTTCCTGGCCACTATTCTGGATTCTGTCACACTTTATGGCGGAGGCCAGTATGCCCCGGTTATGGAAAATGTCGTCCTTTGTGCGGCATTCTTGGATTATAAGAACGAGACAACGGCAAAGGCTTTGAATAACGTTGTTTTGCCCAGAGTTACCGGTCCCAACTCCGCTCGAGTCTAACGAAGTCCGCTGGCTGGACGCATTTCTCGCGATTTATCTCAAGTTTCCCTTTGTACTCGCGGATGGGGCGGGAATTCCGGTTGATGACCGGCTAAATCCGGTAGGAACCCGGGTATGTCCCTTAATCCGGAGATGTCTCGAAATCTACATGTACACCAATGATATTATCGACTTGATCAGCGATTTTAATGGCGAGCCGATCAATTGTGTCGCTGTGGCGGCAAGATATGGCGGTCTTAACGCGGTTATTGGGTACGCCGACGCATGCGCGACTTGTGTCGATGATTGCGCCAAGTGTGACTGTGCGGCAGGCGATGCCGCGCATGATTGGGCGGTCGATGGTACGCAGGGAATGTTGACCACGTATCAGTTGGTTCCGAGATACGTGGCGATGACGCAAATGGCGGAAATGAACCATTTGACGGGGCAAATGTATAAGGATTTATTAAGTTCGGCGCGACATGGGGCTTTTACTTCGGGAAAAGTGGCCAAATTTCAATCAAACGAGCCCGCCCTGCATGATACAGAGTGGAAACCGATATTCGACATGGTGGCAATCCCACCATATGGGGGAACTGGAGAATGCAGCCATTGTCAAACTATTACAACTTGGCTCGTCAATCGAGGGCTGTATCGTGAAAGGAGAAACATTTTGGAAAAACAGGTGAGATTTTTAAGTGTTATTTAGTGATAAACTAATTACATTTTTAGCATTTTGAGTGAAATCAAGTGTTTAAATACTATATAAAAATTATTTTATTCCAAAACCAGAGATTGCGACTTTAAAAAATCAATTTAATGAATTTTTATTTAATTATTTACTTAAGTAAATTAATTTTACTTAAGTTATTTCTTCATTATTTAATTAATTCCGATTTGAATCTCCCTCTTTAGGTTCGGGATTTTGTGAAGGAACATGTCCACCTGAATCCTAGCCCCGAGATGAAGAACTTTTGGGGCGAACTGCTCGTCCTTCTGGCAGGAGAGGAATGTCCTGCCGAAATCGTGCAAGAGTGCGCACGCGTCGTAGAATCAACTTGGAACCTATTGCGTTTTGCTGGTGAAATCAAAGCCGATGTGAATCTCGTTAGAAAGCGGCAGATTGAACTTTACTTTGACGTTTGCAAGGTTATCACAAGAACGCATGAATTCCCAAACGGGCACCATGTCCGACGAGTGGTGGTTGGATTGATAAGTGTGATGGGAGACAGGACAGATGTGTCTGTATTCCAGCGGATCCTTGACGGACTGCTGGAATATTCCGGATAACGAGATGTGTAAAATTTCTGAGGGAAATTTTTTGGACTAAATTTACAGATATTTTTTGAAATAATGTTTAAACTTTTGGGATTCATTGGGGAATAAATTTTACTTTTCAACTGTTAAGCGAGATAAATAGTTTATATTAATATACCATAAGCACGCTAAATTTAAAAACAATTCAGAATCATGGTACTTCTGAGCTCATCAAATTGACAAATCCTATAACTTCATCTGCATAAAGAAGCGTATTTTAATTTCTAAATAGTCTCATTTTTTTTTGCTTTAACAAACATGTAAATGCGATCATCCCGCATGATCATGTTTGTTAATATGCGGAATTCAGCCCCAATATCGCATCTAATTTCGTTAAGAATTTCTCCGCCCATAATCCTGACTAAACTTTAGTCTCGTTTATTAGCTCACCCTGTGTGGCATGGGAGCTATTGAATTCTTCTTGTTGGTCTGTTGCATCCGGTGTTTAACACGACCTTTCCCAATTTTCCTTCTCCATTTCCTCCTTTCTGAATTAATAAGTTGTTATGCCGACTAAACAAAATTAAATCGTTTAATGAGATGTTTACATATTAACTTAAAATATTGGAAAAGAATGAACTAAGATATGCATATCGCTAATAAATTTCGTCGTACCAACGATTATTTGGAAAATGCCAAATTTATTATGGAATTGAAGTACCCGTGGCATACATTAATCGAAAGAGGTAAGTAATTATTTATTCGCATATATACTATATTAAATATTTTACTGCTGCACAAGTTTGTTCTCATATCCTGTTCAGAACAGGGTATTCTAACCTAGAATTTGACATGTCTGTTTTCCACGTGTAATCGAAACCAACAATAACTTAAAAGCTGGCTGGGTGACACACCAAAAATTAACTCAAAACTAATATTTAATCATTACTGTGCAGAGTACAAGATTCTGCCGGAACGATAATAGCGAATTATATTAACGATTATTTATTGTATTATGGTTAAAAATGTCGTAATGTGTTATTACCAGTTAATTCCATTCGGACAGATTTTTAACAGCGTAGAAACTTTGCAACTCGAACAAACATGCTAAAAACCAAAATTATAATGATTCTTCTTTTTTCCCTAATTTCTAGTGTTGGTACTCGGATCCACCGGATTGATCCGAGTAACTTACTAAAGCATTGAGTAATCCGATCCGATCCGATCCGACCCATATAAACTTGGATCCGATTACCAACCCTACTAATTTCTATTTTATCCGGTTTAAAATTACCCAAAGTACTAATGCAACCATTACGTAACTTACATAGTCTATGGTTCCCGGAGTTCTAGTTGGTTCTATACTTATTCTGTTCAGAGTCAAGTGATCGATAAAATCATACATGACTTAATCGTGCAAGCGTTACTTGTAGCAACTTATTGTAAATTACATGAATATATGTATAAGCTCTATGCAAAACCTTTCACAATACAAAGCTTAGCCTTGACTGGGTCACTAAATAAGTTACCTAATTTTGAGAAATTTGGATTAGCACTTATTCTGGTGGTTACGAAATATTAAAAATAAACTTTTGCCATATTGCGATATCGATTTTTTTATTACATAAATTCAATTTATTAAATTGTCATTGGCAAACAAATTATTCTAGCATTTGTGAGAAGCCATTAAGAACGCCAATATTTGTAGGTAAATTAGCCCAAATTTTGATTTTGTTTACTACCCTAGTAATGCTCGAGAAATGTGTTTAATAAAATGTGGACATTTAGTAACGTTTGAAAAAACTTGATTGGATTATTAATTAAGTATTTAAGTTGTTGCTACTGCTTATTAGCTGTATTATAGAAACCAATTGTATAGTTACGATTTTCTAGTAAATCCTATACTTAATTACTACTTTATTAACTTTTTTGAAATTCTGCATGAAAAGGTAAGCTAAATTTTAAGCCTCTGGATTAGTTTTAAAATAATATTTCCATAACCGGTTATAAAACAAGATAAATTTAATTAATAAATTGTGCACATAATCCTTTAAATCCGTACTTAACCAAGTAATTACCTAATTCCAAGTAAAAGATTGTTAAAGTGTATTTTTGATTATCGACGGCAAACCAATTACACACCCATTATAATAAAAACGAGTAACGCTATTGATCCAATTACTATGACGGAGATGGCCCCTCCTCCAAGGGAAGAAGAAGAAGAAGGAGAAAGTTTGCTCCCACATTTCAATGCTGGAAAAATTTTATATGTTTCTTGAAATACTTATAAATTAACTTTTTTTCAAGCTACGCCGGGATTTTCTAGAGAATTATGTCAAAAACTCAAGCTCAAGCTCAAACTCAAAATTTAGGACTCACATACCATTTCCAATTTTTTGCCCAATTTTTTTACTCAATTCAATAGAAAACCCTAGCGTGGCTTGAAAAACGATTCCCTTGTTACTATTAAAAATGCATACCTGGACTAAAATCCCTCCGACCTGGACTGCCTTCCCTGAATGCTTCGACTTCTGCCCCATTAAGGTTTATCTGCCAGCCTTTAATTCCATTGAGCACGCCGACCTGATCACAAGTAGCCGAATGTCCGATCGGCGTAGCCAGGAAATCGGCAAGATAGTCGCCATCAAACCTTTCATAGCGGTGATCTTCAGTCAAATTCTGAAAATACTTGGGATCCTGAAAAATACTCGCAAAAATTCTCCAAAGATAAAAATGTGTCGACTTTCGTCCAAACCAGAACTCTAATGAATTCTCTTTCGAAACTGTGGGATTGTTCCAGGTCAAATTTATAAAACCTGCGAAGCAATTACCAGAAATGTTTGTTACTCGGGGTACATCAACAACGGCGTAACATGTCTAGAAAACAATACGCAAAATATTATCTGCATATTTATATTCTATACTACACTCTTAAAAATAATGTTATGCGTTTAAAAAATTAATGCACTCTGAATTCTGAATTAGGTAAGCTATACAAAATCCAGCGTGACTTTAACTTGCTAAATTGTAAAGTTTACGCTAAATTTAGTATAGTTTTCTTAATATCGAATTCAAAATGCATTTACTGTTCAAACGGATAAAATTATTTTTAAGAGTAGACCAACAACCACCTCGTTGTATTTATCCACATAGTCAATTCCTAAGTATATAATGGCCGAAACCATGATACAGGAATTATTCTTGGCGTCTTCCAACGTGTATTTCCAATCGGTGGGTAGAATTTGATTATGGTTAAGGAATTAAAATTAAGCACATTTCTTGCTGAGAGGCTTATTGGCCGATCTTGTAATGCTTAACAGCATTGACGATTGAAATTCCGATTACTTTTCCAATTGTTGAGCGATTTTCAAAATTCCGCCTGTTTTGGAAACCTTAGGTCAAACGGCGAAACATATATTCCCAGATTTTTAAAATTCGACCACACCCCCGTGCAATTAAGGTCATAAGTTCAAAAACACACGTAAAATAAAAATAATTCTTAAAGCGGAATTTCAAAATATAAGAATCGAATTGCATGTCGAAAAAATACCCCGACACCCAGGTCACTATTAAAAATTTTCAAATGGTCACATGGCCACCCCCAATGGGTGTGGTTCTCGGCAACTTTTCGATTGTATCCAAAACATGGATTGTGACATCATTTTTCTCATCCCGGCGAGGAGATTACGACTTAGTAAGTAAAATTTTGAAACCACACCCGCAGGGGGTGTGGTTCTCGGCGCCTTTTCGATCTAAATGATAACATGTCATGTGACATATCATTTTTCTCAGCCGGACGAGGGGATCTCAACGGAATTATAAAAATTAGAAACCACACCCCTTGTGGGTGTGACCTTTGGTGCTTTTTCGATTGCTGTTAATTACTACCTGCACGAAATTAGTGCATGCAAATGTTTTTTAACGTTTAGTAATATCGACCAAAAATTCCAAGAAGTGCATGAAAATGCACAAAAATCTTTTAAGGCAAATAATACTGAGCACTTTTTTCTGTAAATTTTAGGATAAGAATGCTCAAAATCGGTTAAGATATGAAAAAGTCTTCCCAATGACACAATTCAAAAATTATAAGCTGGAATTTCCAGCAATGCAATGAAATTGACAACAGCAATGAACCAGTTAAAAACAAACTTCTGATTCTTCTGTCCCGAGAAACAGCGACGTTATCCAATTTAGAAACTTAATTTGAAAAATTGTTTAATACTTGTATCTAGTTACAAAACCTCACTATTAGTTTTCCCTTTTTGGGACCATCCTTGTTATGCATTTTTATGCATCATGCATGCATAAAAATTATTTCGTGCGCACAATAAGAAACACTGACCCACACACTGGGGTCGTTAAAACAGGGTGATTAAAATATTGAAAATTTCTCTGATGTGGGAAATAGGTCATATTATTCTTCTAAAACTACAATGCGATATCTTGCGGATTTAAATCAGGCAAACACCCAAAAAGGGACTAGCTTTCAAGATATTCCTAACTCCACATGGTGTTTAGCAGATGGCTGGGTACCGAATACCATTTGTTCCCAAATTCCTGTACAATTGGTCGCCGGCCCTGATTTCTTATTATTTCCTAATACCGTCTTCAAATTTTCATGTTCCTTTGCAATTTGAACATATGACGGTCTTTTAACCGACACGCGACTTTGTTTCCAAAATAACCCATGATCTTAATCCGCATCTCGTCTTCATTTATCTGCCAATATCAGCCGAAACTCAACGTATCAAATAAATGTTCATTGTTTATAATATCACCATATTTATTAAACAAGATAGAATTATGATACATTACGAACATGAAGGCATGAAGTATTTACTCAAACTTGGAACAGACTAATTTTGAATTCTTCAGGTCCTAAACAAAAGGTTTCAAAGGTACATTTTTTAGCTAGGCGTAATCCACTCTTTAAAATTCGAAACCTCGTTTGCCCAACATACCTAATAGCTTTGGTTTTTAGGTAAATTAAAAAAATATACTGCTGAAATATTTTCGAAATTAAAATAAATAATTAAAATAAAATCCCCTCGTCCGGCTGAGAAAAACGATATGTCACATGACGTGGCTAACATAAACTCTAAAAAGTGCAAAAGGTCACACCCACTGGGGGTGTGGTTTCTAATTTTTATGTTACCGTTGAGATCCCCTCATCCGGCTGAGAAAAACGATATGTCACATTACATGGTTTCGATTCAGTTGAAAAAGCGCCATTGGCCATACCCACAGGGGGTGTGGTTTTTAATTTTTGTAATTCCGTTGAGATCCCCTCGTCCGGCTGAGAAAAATGATGTCACATGACATGTTTTCATTTAGATCGAAAAGGCGCCGAGAACCACACCCCCTGCGGGTGTGGTTTCAAAATTTTACTTACTCAGTCGTAATCTCCTCGCCGGGATGAGAAAAATGATATGTCGCAACCCATGTTTTGGATACAATCGAAAAGTTGCCAAGAACCACACCCACTGAGGGTGGCCATGTGACCATTTGAAAATTTTTAATAGTGACCTGGGTGTCGGGGTATTTTTTCGACATGTAATTCGATTCTTATATTTTGAAATTCCGCTTTAAGAATTATTTTTATTTTACGTGTGTATTTGAACTTATGACCTTAATTGCAAGGGGGTGTGATCGAATTTTAAAAATCTGGGAATATATATTTCGCCAATTGGCCTGAGGTTTCCAAAACAGGCGGTATTTTGAAAATCGGTCAACAATTGAAAAAGTAATTCTAATTTCAAATTTGCAATGTTGTTAAGCATTACAAGATCGGCCAATAAGCCTCTCAGCAAGATATAATCTAAAATGTGCTTAATTATTATGCCTCGACCATAGTTTCTACTGGAGTGGGAGTCGTGGAAGGGGTGAAGATTTCTCGAAATGCGGATGATGCAGGGGTGAATGTCATAACGGTCCAAAGTACTAAATAAATATGTAATTAATATTTATGCGATTAGCTAGTCTACACTCTTAAAAATAAGGTTACCATTTTGAGTGTTAAATCCATTCTGAATTTTGTTTTCACTTAACAATTCAAAATCCAGAGTAAACTTTACTCTTTATCAAGGTAACGTTACTCTGGATTTAGTACAGTTTGCTTAAGTTAGAATTCAGGGTGCATTTACTTTTTAGAATGGGTTACATTATTTTTAAGAGTATAGGTATTCTTACTGATATCTGTACTTTGGAAGTAAATATATGCATACGGCAAACTTTTACAGATTGTGGTTTCCTCCTCATTTTACGGACAAGTTTTGTACTAAATAGGCTGCCAAAATGTAAACAAAAAGTTTTCAGTAACTTAATACAGAAGGCCAAGACAATTTATAATTAAAACTAGTAATTTTTAATATTTTTTCTAACCGTTAAACAATTTTATCAACTTATTGGTACAGTTCTTCCTCCCTCAATACATTTGATGTTGGACAGTTTAGTTAATCTTTTGTATAATTGGGGGTGTATCCTATTTTACATTGTCTGCGTATTTCTGCTGCGCAGTTTTCTACGAAACAGTAACAAAGCATTTCGCAAACACGCGATGTGGTACAGAATAATACAGATCATATTTATTTGTTCGTTAGCAAATTTCATACTGCACTCATTGTGCCGAAGCTTGCTCTTTTTGTGGATAATTCATTTTTTAACTGCCGTGTGCAAAATTTTATTGTACATTTGGATTTCGTCGAAATTCTCATTTTATTCTCCACTCCTTGCAAATGACAGGAAAAACAGGGTTTATTGGTACAGTACGTAATTAGGGTGTAGCGGATAACAATGTTGTAACATATCTTCATGTGTATGAACAATGTCAGAAATTCAGTGAAATAATATCGAGCACAATTCATGTATGACTTTACCAAAGCAGTATGAAATACTGTATAATGTAATTTATTCAGTTAGAGGTAACCTTTAAACGATATACATACATAATTTTGAAACGTACATAAGTTCACACAGTGAATTATACTATATTCAGAGTAAGCTCTGCTCTTTATCAAGTTGGGTTGGTTGTAGTTTACGAAATATATAACGGAGAATGAATTTCTTGCAGAAAAAGCCTACATTATTTTTTAAAGTGTGAATAAGAGATTTCATTAAATAAGTTGCTGCGTAGGCGGACATTTAAATAAATTTGCGGTGTTAAATTTAACCCCAGAGTTTCAACTAAATAGATGAGGGAATGACTGCCTGGATAGTGGAAAACCTAAATACTAAGGCATGCCTGAAAAAGAATGGCTAGTTGAATGTAAAATACATACGCATTTTGGAAATCAAAGCTTTCGATTTTTTTCAACACAAAGTGGCGAGAAACGTTTTCACAAGGCTTTATATGTATATCGACGCCAAATAAAATACGCAAGAACACTGATTAACGCTATTGCTCCAATCACTATGCCAACGATGGGCCATGCACCAAGTAAAGAAGAAAGTGGAGGAATTTTGCGTCCACATTCCAAACCTGAGAAAAGTTATTGGAGAAAACATTCATAAATCACAGGCTGACTTCATAATAACCAATTAAGGAGTATGATTAACTACAACAAAATGTATGAATTCGAGGACGTTATACATTACTATGTATATTATCCTCATGGTTAGGGGGGGGGGAATGATTTTCATAAGTGATTTTCATAAAATTAATAAAAAAATTGAAAACTCCAAAATTTAGCATTGCATCAGATTGAGAAATTTTCAAATTTACGGCAAGAAAATGTTAAAATTTATCATTCGTTGGCATATGAAAAATGACTCAAAATGACAACGGATTTTTCGCCGAGGAGAAAAAGCTATCGAGTTCAATGACTGTTTAAGTTTAACTAATAAGAGCAACAATTTTCCTCCTCCAGAACCATGAGCAAAATTTTTCGGAACGACTCTTGTTTAACTCCCGAATTAAGACATTTCTTTTTTTCTTTTGAATATTTTTTACGAATTAAAGGGCTAACAAAATATTTACCTGGACTGAACTCCCTCCGCCCGGGCAAGCCTTCTCGGAATGCTTCAAATCGTGGACCATTAAAGCTTACACTTTCCCAGCGGTTAAGCCCATTGAACACGACGACCCCATTGCAAGTAAAAGAATGACCGATCGGTGTTGCAAATTGCATATAGTAATCAGAGAGATAGTCGCCGCTAAAATTTTCATAGTGTGGAAAATCTGTCAAACTCGTAAAATGCTTTGAATCCTGAAAAACTTTTGCCGTAATTCTCCAAAGATAGAAATGCGTCGAGTTTCGCCCAAACCAGAGCTCCAACGAGTTTTCTTTCCAAACTGTGGGACTATTCCAAGTCAAATTTATAAAACCGGCTAAGCAACTACCCGAAATGTTTAGGATTGTGGGGACCCTGAAGGAGGCGAGATTTATCTACAAAATAAATACGATACACATATTAATTGTGAATTACACAATATGACAAGTCATACAGTAATTTCATTGGTAACTATTAAAATCCACAAATTTTGAAATCTAATTTTACAAGTAGAGGGAAGCCATTGGTGTGACTAAAGTATAAAGCTCGCCCAGCGTATGTTTTCCAATTTTCAACAAATCGGTGTCAATCCATATCAAATTTAGTTTAGTATGAAATCTGCCAGTGCTCAGGTTTGTCGGGGATATGTTAATCCGAAAAGGAGAGATGTTATTCAAAAAGTTCGCAAATTGTATACTTTCCTAATTTTCTGCGCATCTTCTCCTCGCCCGATGCAATTATATCCACCATTCAAGGATCTAATACTATTAAGTTTTTGGTCGATTGAAGCTAAAATATAGAAATGAATATTTTTGTACAGGTTACCTCTCCATGTTTATCCATGTAGGGAATGTCTAAAAATATTGCGGTCTCAATCATGATACAGGAATTGTTTTTGGCGTCTTCCAACGTGTACGTCCAATCGGTGGATAGGACTCGAGTTGTCTTCGCTGGAGTCGCAGAAAAGGGGTAGATTTTTTGAAGTGCGGATACCGAGAGGAATGCCGTTGCGGTGCAAAGTACTAAATTATTTATTTCATATTTACTACTTGTTTAGTCTAAAGGGTAGTACTCAGGACGGATGTTTAACGCGAAACGGCAGGTTCTTTCTATCCATTAAATTACTCCTAAAATGAAGTTCACACAAGAATCGGAGTGCTTCTTGCAAAATAGTACTCTAGTTTCTTTTTCCCTATTTTTCTAAATTTTTTCGCGTGAAAACCCCATCCTGAGTACTGTGCTTAAATAAATACGATCATTCAATATCTGTATATAGTCACAGCTTTGAGTTACGTATTTACACCAGATTTTTGAAAATTGTGTTCTGGTCATCATTTTAGAATCAGCTAGTCCAGTGATGTGAAGATCAGGCAAAGCAGATAATTTGTAAATGAGAGCTAAAAGCTTCTATTTTGTTTATTGTTTTATCTGACTGCTTATTTTTTTACTTAACGACAAAGCACTTCTTTCAGCAGAATGACGATTTTGTAAAGGATCGTAAGAAATATGTGTATGCTGTGTTGTAATTACACATTATACGTACGTGCCGTGTAGATTTATGCGTAGCATTAATTAAGCATTATGCAAACACTAAATGTGTAGATAATATTTATTTGTGGTTTGTGGGAACCACATTTGCGAACAAACATCATACCGCATATCCTGGAAACGCTTCCTCTTTATGGTGGCAATTAATTAATCTGCATGGGCAAAATATGTACAATTTTATTGTGGTGAATTCATCCACCCAAATACAAATTGTACACAAAGGTGCACGTGCGAGATACTTACCTTATTCCATTGAAATTAATTGAATAATCTCAAGGTATCAATACCCTTCTTACAATGAGAAAAGATGTGGTCGCAGCATTCATACTTCATCAATATCACACTCTAGTTGAGTGAATGGAATAAATATTTTTTTAGAGTTTCTAAAAATATTTGAGATACTTAGGTATAAATATATTCGACATGCTAATTAGTGTTATCAATTGCACATAGACTTTTGAATTTCATTATACTTTGTGTGGTTGGAGGTAGACTAACAATGTAAGTTTTTTCCGTGTAAACTCAAATTTGCATGGTACCAATTTCATTTTGTTCACCACAAAAAATAAGCATACCCGTATTTTTGCATTTTTCTCAATGCGCCAATTTGAGCGCTGGGCGCCAATTTTAAACTGTTTTCCAGCCAAAACCTCAGGTTTTAAAACTTCTATAACTTTTTTAATTTGGCGGGAAATTTGTAAGCTTGTGGCGAAAGTTATGCAATGATTATTACGTTCATGGTGTAGTCAACCGTGTGCTTTCTTATATTCGCATGCTTTCCTGTGTATTTATATACAACTCTTCCTCAACTGTGCATACGCAAGCATATATATCTACTTATCTACCCACTGCAAACGAGAGATAATTTATCTGTAAATCTGGACAGAATGTCTTTACATATGTGCGTACGTGATGGTGGAACTGCATAGTGCGTAGTGTATTTACGTACGTAATCTAAAGGGCATGCTTTTATCGGTACGAAATACGACAATAAAATTTAAGTTGTTCTTCAAAATAAGTACTATTTAATTTAATTGATGGTCATAAATAATTGTGTAGGAACCATTTGTGTACAGATACATGAGTAAATACGCCTTAAGCAAACTCGTATCAAATATGATGTACTACGCAGACACGATTTTAGTTAGCAATTACACACTGAATTTTAACGCGACTAAATTTAAACATTGGAACGAGAGACTGTCAAATTAAGGGATAAATTAGCCCACAACGATTTACAAGTTTTGTCCACTCCCGCATTCATACATTTACACTCTCCCATTATAATTATACCTAACTGCCAAACTTAGGAGTACCTATTCTCCTCATAGATACATTTCATCATAATTAATTTTATTTATTGGTGTAATAATATTATAGAATGAAATATAATGTATGGTTAGTAAATGCACTCATAGATAAGTGTATATGAGCGGTGTCATGCAATTTCATCATTTAATTTCCTGCATGAGACGACCAATGAACCTTATACTAATCATTAATCTTATACTTATCATTGATCAGTGTTAATCATGATTATAAGAATGCTTAATTAGTAATTTATTAAGTACACACTCGTTACTTGACTAAATTGATGCTTGTTGCCGCTTATGTCCCGTCATCCCAGGAAGAGTTAGATGATCTGTAATGATGATCAAGAATTTAATTTATTAGAATAATTACATAAATAAAAATGAATGTAAATAAAATGGATAAAACATCCAGTAATAGTAATTATTTGACCCGAGTCAGGGACAGTCGGCATCTAAATTTCTTTCAGAATTTGCCGCACTATGTAAGATAAACTGGTGAGATAACTCACTTTCCAGCTAATTTCATGCATATTAAGAAAATGTATTGTAGATTTCATGAAAAAAATTCCTTTCCGGATGACACTACCGAAAGTGGAAAATTCGCAAACGTGGATTTTCACTCGCTCGAAAATTTGTTCCAGTTCGAGACGAATAAGACGATTGTCCACATCGGTGGGCTAGGAAAATCCGGATTCGTTGTCGACCTTATAATTACAAGATGTCAGCTTGCCGGTGACATAAATTACTAACTTAATTACTAACATAAATTACTAACTGCCGATGATCACTTCGGATGGCTACCCAGTCAGCGGTAGAAATGCGAATAAAATTAAGAAACTCTTCACGTAGCGGCCCAGCACTTCCATGACTGCAGCATCCACAAAACCAAAGACGTCGACCTCAATGATATGTCAAATTAAACTTCACACCTTGGGCATGGACGGAATATAAATCAATCAGCACCGAAATATGTTGCAACCCAGCAACAGCGAACTAAAACTGGACGCAAAATAAATTACAAAAATAGGTTGGCTGAAGTCCTGGCTTTTGATCGTGAGATCAAAGTGACAATTGACCTTATAATACCCCCGATCATAAGACATTATGATCAACAAATCATGCAACTACTCCTAAAGATGTAAAATACGTAGATAGCATAAAAGCAAAGGCAATGGTTAAAAAAAATCCTGGAAAGGAGCACTATGAAATGCATTGGATAAGATACAGAAAAAGCTGACAACATTCGAAACGTACCTTAAATGCATTGTATTGAAAATTTATAGGCCCAGTGTAAAAGACAATATTTCAAACAAGAGACAAAGTCGAAAACCGTCCACGGGTTTTGATAATTTGGACCAGAATCAGCAAAGTCAGGAAAACGACTCTTCGCAGGAGCTCGAAAAAACCTAGTCTCCATAAGTAACAATGCGAAAGGAGGTTATCATAGCGACGAAACTAACACATACAACTCCTTAGCTTTCCAATCCATTTAGATTTGTTGCGATAAATTGATTTATAAAAAATGAGAGCCACTTTTCCATACTGAGCTCCATACTCAGTATGCACTTTACTTTTGGGATGCACTATAAGTATCTAGAAAATTGAATTCAAATATTTTAAGAATTTTAATAATCAATATTAATTACAAGGAATTTGAACAACAGAACATTTCTAATTACAATACCATCTTATTTGTATGTTTTATTTAATTTTGTGAAAGAGCAATTTTGATCTCAAAAGCAAATCAGCACGTAGCTATTACACACATTCCTAAGGAATTACACAGCACGCGAAATTCACTCGAAAAGGTTTGGCAAAAACGAAAAAGAAATGTTAGTGACATTTTGCATCTTATTTTAAGAAACGCTCTACCTGGTGTAGTGAAAGTCGAGTAATTCCAGTAAAGAAATAATTTAAAACAAAATAAAATATATCACGTTTAGGCAGATTTTGCAAAAATTTCGGAAAAAAATGTCCTGAGTACTAGGCTTAAATAACAATTTAAAAAATCCATTAAAATAATTAAACCTATTATTTCTCGATCAAAGTCAAAATTGAATATCGCTACGAATCCTGTCCTCAACCTAATCCGTTCTCTGAATCCACCAGTAATCCTTGCTCGAGCAGGGACCCACCTTAAGCTTGGTGACATTCTTCTCGTCCAGTTGTAAGCAGCTGGCTGACGCTGCTCTCACAATGCAGAGAGTCTTTGGGTGGATGCACTCTTCAGTCCAGTGCTGTGCTAGATTTTCTGGGTTACATGGCTCTAGTGAGACCGCACTTTTTCCCTCTTCCAAACAATGGGAAGTTCCATTGGGCCCTATATCTGTTCAGTAAATTTAAATTCACATGACTGATGACGGAAATGAAATAGCATGGTTTTTCTTTTAAATCAAGATTAATGATAGATTACTTCTTTTAAAATGAATAAGTGTGAATCAAGTCATTTTTTACTCTCTGCTCCACACATCGGGTGAAGTGAGAAATGAAGCAAAATGAATCATACAAAATATTTCTCATTCAAACCTCATTAAGTCTGGATGTTGCCGCAGCTGAATATCCTTAGTTTCTCACACTGATCTGAGCAACAGTGCACAGAGTTGAAAATAATACAGCATAATTATGGCTCTCATAATTAAGCTACGAATTGACCATTCAACTCGTGCGTTTGAACTGTTCTCTGCCAGTGAAATGGACAGTTTACTCGACCGTTTATTTTGTGGAAAAGTTAATAACCAATCCGTTAATTGTGAAAAGGTGAAAGTACCCGTCACTCATTCTACGATTCAAAATACCCCGATTAAGTACGGAGTACATCCCCGTAAAATTGGTGTTCGCGACCTGCCTCTACGTTGCAACGATGGGGATCTGGCCGGGCTAGGGGACGCCCTTCCAGCCAGCCCGGGCCTAGGAGGACGCTCCAAAGGGCTTGACACGACGATCGACTTGGGTCACTAGGACGGTCATGCTCTTCACTACGTCGTCAGCGCCAAGACCAGTGCATCGCAAAAGTTTCCAACCCTCCGTCATTTCGTCCCCCACTTGCAGTTTGATGGTGGTGGATTACAGGGCCCTTACGAAGGGTCTCCAGGTGGGTATTTTCCCCAGGGCCGGGCCTGCCCAGCACCAAAAAAATTAAAAATGTGATTACATGGAAATGTGATTTTGAGTATCCTGACAAAGTTTACGTAAAATAGAAGATATTTAATTTGCTACTATTATATGTAACCTCCATGCTACAGGACATTTAAATTTGTGATTAGAATCAATATGAGAAACGTAATTAGGTGCCAATAGAAGATTAACAAAGTTCGTAACTTGAATACGCGAAGCTTGCGGAATTGTCTTAATTTCAATTTTTTAAACTGAGCATCGTATTCTCTGTAATTTAAAACCCATCAATTTGAATGAGATTTATTTTGTCCCAATTTCTTCCAAGGGTCTCCCAATTTTGTGTAAAGAGATAAAAAAAAACTAAAGCTAAACAATATGAAATGCATTTTCTGTAATTTTACTGCATAGAGTTTGAATCTCTTTAATACTCCCATGTAGACTACAAATATAGCAAAGGTGACCTATGAGGTGGCGATGCGGAACTTTGACCTATAGATGGTCAAAAAATGTTTCTAAAAATCCCAGATTTTGGTAGGATGTTACAAAACCCAACTGTTCGCTATATGCGTAAACATAGAATAATTTAATCCATTATACACTTCGTATTTAATCTTTTTCTTCACATTCTTCATTAGTTCTTTTTCGGAAGACTTTGCAAATTCGTTGTTACTTTTCTCCAATCATAACCGAAATTTTCTTAAAGTATGGACGGTTTCACGAACCTAGAAGTATTTCTTCCTACAAAAAGTGCAAAATTTATTTTTCTGACGAAGATGAAGGATGTTGATGAGGTTTTCAATTTTCAACATCAAACTGATATTTTTTTCAATTTCTTCCTAGATGGATGTTGCATTGTAGATTTTAGTATGGTCGGGTCGAACAATTAATTTTCATATATTTTGATAGGTCATAATGTGGGGAATCAGATGGCGTATCATGCATTTCAACAAATTTATTTTTGTGTTCATACAACCATCATACACGCGAGGGTCCGAAATATGGCCAAATTGAACCATCGCCTGATAAACTAGAGATTTTGTTGAAAATTTCGAAAATCAATTTATTCTCTCTTCGGTTGTTACTTAAGAGGGATATTTTGGATCAAAAAATTATCTTCCCGGATTTTCTGTTGGGTTTTTAAGGCTGTTGGACTCGTCGCCAATGATCAAATTGTTTCAATCAATTTGTTTGGTGAAATTGTTTGTTTGTTGGTGAAATTTCCGCATAAGGCTTAGGGAGTCTTGCATTTGTCATTTTTTCTTGAGCTTCCGTATATTTTCTGCAGATCTCTTTGCACACGGTTTGACCTCCAATTTATTAGCCTTAGTATTCTATATACAAGGAGTTTGTATTCAGCTTTAACTTCTTTGTCTCATCAGCCATATTTTAATAAGTTGTATCCTACATGATGAAATGATTTCTCAAAAATATTGACATTAGTAACTATTTACTCATTTAGCAGCCCTGTGGAAATAATAAAAGAGCATGAGAGAAAAGTACAATTTAAACAATCATTATAAAATTTCATTGGAATAAATACTTTTCACATTATTTAAGACATTTGCTGCTTAAAGACTAAAGAGATGTATGTAAAACAACCATGACAGCCATCCATGATAAGAGGTAATCGTTATCAGTACTTACTTCCGCGTTGTGATAAATGATCAAAGCGGCTCTCATTTACAGATTTGTGTATGTATTAACTCATATGGTAACTTATCAAATTAAATTAACAGAGAAATAACCCTGGTAATGTGAAGATTATTGTTCTTCCGCGTAGTAGTAATTCCTGGTGCTTACATAAATATGTTCGTGAATCTTAAATATATGCCACAAAACCTCTCACACAGAGAGTGCTCATTTAAACTTGAATATTTGAAAGAGAGAGAGATCCTTCATTTCTGAGTGATGCCGACCTGCATTGTAACGTAAGCCAACTGGAGATAATTTTTTATAAAATAATTCACACCTTTGATAATTATACTACTGATTTAGTGATTTGCAAGTAAAACTTCGCTCGGGTGCGATATCCCTTTGACATTTAGATGCACATGATAGCAATCAATTAAAATTATCACGATTTCTTAAAAAACACACAATATTGAGTTGGAACTAGTTTCAAAATTTTCTACAAAAGGCACAGAAATCATTCATGGCAATAAATAATAATTAATTTTAAATTTAAAAATAAATTTTAATTCGTAATTCATAATATAGTAATAATAATTCGTACATTTGATAATGACATATCAACATACAAACATTTGTATATTGACATTTGTCGATAAAAAGATTAACATATTCATAAATATTACAATGTATTTGGGGGATTTGAGTAAATAAGAGTGATCTTCATTTATTTGGATATATTTAGTTGTCAGTCGAACCTCGGGCAGCATGAGGAAGATCGATGGGGAGTCAATATTTTCGGTCTGACCAACTCCGAAAAGGAATTGATGAAATCTACCTATCCCGAACTCGTAGTTTGTGGACGTGGGGTTTCAAAGTATTGCCACGTAGGAAAGGATGATTCTGAGCTTGATTCCTACAATGATATTTGGGAAAGTATTACCGACTCAAAAAGGTGAATATGGAATTACGAAATATCATTTAATCATAGCGAGTCAGAGTTGGGACTTTTTATCAGCCCGTCACCCTCCCCTCCCCTCACCAGTTTCTCAATTTTTTGCCCCTCACCCTCCCCTCCCCTCACCAGTTTCTCAATTTTTTGCCCCTCACCCTCCCCTCCCCTCACCAGTTTCTCAATTTTTTGCCCCTCATTTGAAATGAAATTTTTTATCTCTCATCCCATCACTAATTTTGAAAACGTAATTTTGTTCAAAAACTTGTTTTTATTAATGGTAGTAATTAAAGTAATTTTTGTTTTCTATGTGTTCGTATTTGGAAAGCAAAGATTTTGAACTTTTCATTCAAAAAGTTAATTTTTCAGAAGTTAGTTCTCCTCAGCTAGTCTTCGGTAGACATGTGGAGCAAATGAACATAATTTTGAAGGTTGAATCATCATTATTTTTGCAGAAAAATTGTCATTTTGGCCCTCAAATTTTTAACCCCTCGCTCTCCCCTCCCCTCAAAAATTTCTCGATTTTTTGCCCCCCACCCTCCCCTCCCCTCACTTGTTTCGCAATTTTTTACCCCCCACCCTCCCCTCCCCTCATTTTCGCACAAAAACAGTAACCCTCCCCTCTTTTACCCCTCCCCCTCACCCTCAAATGAGGAATTTAGGCCACAATTTAGGCCAAATTAGTGTCAATTGGTAGCAAATTTAGTACATGTAAGGTTCGCAAATGATCTCTCAACTTTGCACGTTTATACGAGATATTTGCATCCCGAACAGCAGAAAATTTGCCTAGAATTTGATAACTTTCACACTTTCCAACTTCACGGCTCGTTTCTTCCTCTTCGAATGCAAATGTCTCGACAAATAACGCGACAATTTGGTGCTGATCTCATTTGAAAATTTCAAATTTTTGGGCGATTTATACTACTTTGGTCAAAATCGGAGAGCATGCGCTGAGATAGCTCCATTGTAAGTGAGCGTGAAAACCACGATTATGAAATTTTGCACATTTTGTAATTTTCGAGTTTGACAAATTAAAAAATTTATTTGTTCATACCTGATTTGAAAGGTTGATTCATTTTATGGACTTGATATGATAATGTTTGTATCTCGATTTTAGCACACATCGTGACGGCGTGCTTTCCGCGGCTGTGGTATATTTGAACTATTTGGAGCAGCAAGGCTACCAAGTGACCAAATCGGATATTAACGTTATGGCGATGGACACAAGGTGGACATTCGTTTTGCAGAAATAGTTTAGTCTGCTTTGTTTCAAGGTATTTACTTATGTATGAATTGTATTACTTTTTGGTTGGTCAATTAATTATTTTGTTAGGCATTTTAATTAAAGATGTAGCAAAATAAATAAATTGGTTGGAAATTTTATGATTGGTTAAATTATTAATTTAACGCATTTAGTTTATGCAACTTGTTGACGGAATTAACGAAACAAAACATACATAATTCCCTGTAATAGATTAAACAAAATACGTCATCCACAAATTTGGATAGGTTTTTCCTTGTAAATTTTGCATATGCTACATGAGTAAATACGTATTGTTTACATCAAATATTTAGAACACGTCGAGAGCATGTAAGCTAATACATACGCTGCATTTGCATATAACCAAAAGGCATACGTGTCTCGAGACATGACTTTGCGTGGTTCGAGGTAACAAAGGCTTGCTGATCGGACAGGTTTACTTATGGACTCGTAATGTTTATCAAGTTTGTGATCTAGTATATAGTTGTTATTGTGCAGAGTATAATTAATAAATGTAATTGTTGACTGGTTTAATCTCTTTTCAAGTAAATACTTGTGATGAAAAATAAATATTTAACATATCGAAACGTGTACTGCATTAATTAATGAGCGACGCAAAGCCATTCACATTCTTAGGGCTCACCCACATATGCGTTTTTTCCTGCGTGATGCGGCATTTTTTGATGCTGATGCCGGTTTCCGCATCACCCACATCAAAAAATGCAAAATCGTTCAAACTTGCGTCATTTTTCTGCCACATTAATTTGATGCCACATCTGAGATGCGGCAGTTTTTGACGCCGCAACTTGTTTGTCAAATGTGAATAGTTTTGCAGTTTTATCATAAGATTCTCAACTCAATGGCATGATACAATTGGTGGGAAACTTAAGCTAACCTGCTAATCTTACTAAAAAGTTGACGCTTCTCTTCAAGTCTTGGAAATAATAAATTAATTTAGTTGTTATTCCAATTCATATATTAAAAATGGGCTCCAATTGCGGCGACTAAATTTTTATAAACTCTTTTTCGAGTCCTGTCGACAGGAAGTGCATATATATCGTGCACATATTTGTACATGTACAATCGTCCCACTAACATCAAGGAACGCAAGTATTGCTGCGGAAACTTTGAGGGTATGAGACCATTTAATTACTTAATTTTTATCAATTAATGGTGCATTTCTACCGATTGATTGGCATATGTAGTTGTTCATTTTCTTTGTTTAGTTATCACCAATAACGCTCGGAGTCGAAACCAGAAGGTGAAGTGAGAAACTGAGCGACATTCAGGCCTGCATGTCAATACCAATGCGACGTTCTTCGGGCGTTCCTCAAAAATAGAATCAGGTCGACCTGAAGTAAATTTGACATTGCCATCGGTCCGTACACGACCAGGCAGAGGAACGAATCCATTTAAGATGAGTTTTATTAAACTTGATTCGGAATAAAGATAACGATGTGATCCCTCCTTTTAACAATGTTAATAACACTATGCTATTATTCTATTTCAGTTGGAGATCGAGAGTTAATTAATTCGCAAAATCTACGTATGGTCACTGCTGGTGTTTATTGGAAAGATATCAATAATCAATTTAGAATGGACAGAAAATTTAATGGAATTGAGTCGGCTCAAATTGATTTTTATATAATAATAGTATTCCTGAAGTTTGCTATTAAATGTGCATATTTTTGTCGAAGTTATAAATAAAATTACAAGTTGCCTGGTATTTAATTTTGATATTTATGTTTGAATTTCTCATTTGCATTTCCTTGATTTCCATTTATTTAGCTTTAATTTTTATGTCGACATAAATAAATACAATGCATTGAGTACATTAATATTTTGACTGAAATTGTTGAAATATATCGTAACTAATTATAATTTATCAAAATTAAATCAAAGAACCAGTGAACAAAGTTTTAAAATCGATTTAATCATGATTTTACCTTAAAGATGCAGAAGAATCTACTTTGCTGCTTCTCTCGGATAAGCCGCAAGATTTTGAGATGCGCAACAGGAAAATGAGCTGCGGCAGCAAATTAATGTTGCTGCAAAATTATATGTGAACAGTAGGGCAGCAAAAGCTGCGACAGCAAAAACTGCGCGCAGCAAAAGTTTTGCTGCCACATTTTTTGCCGCAAATGTGAACGGTCGTGATGCGTGATGTGACATCAAAAAATGCCGCATCACGCAGCAAAAGACGTATATTTCTCAAAATTCGCAAAAATTTCGCACTTTTTGGCTTGTAGCGCAAAAACCACCAATGGCCCCCCCAATATTATTACGGATTCTTCATGTACACAAAATTACGCAAATTTTAAGCCATCATACAGCAAAATCGTTAGAGCGCGAAAAAATCATCATCTCATTGTGTACATATATTCTAAATAAGTTTACTTATTTGGGTAATTTTGTTCGCCAGAACTCAAAATTTCCGATGTTAAGTAGAATGTTTGTAACTTATATATAATACAGCACAGTGGGTTGTTTAAATACCAAAAATGTAAAAGCTATATTCCAATGTAACTAGAGTTCCTACTAAAACCTTAGTTTTGTATGTTAAAATATTTATATATCTCCTCATTCCGAGCGTTCTACAAATTCCCGGCCGTCGGTATATTGGAAATCGATTGGAATATCTCCTACATTAATATCGACCACAGCTAATTGCATAAGATTCAACTTAACTTCTTAACCAACCATCACAAACACACATATGGAGGTAGCTTTAGTATCACTTTCCCCCACCCCCGCCCACAGCGTGGGAACATTTAATTTCACTGTGCTCATTTCATCTGTTCAATTTTAATTCAATTTCAGTTATCATCTCACTTTACCCCGACCACACCGCCTATCTACTATCGAAGTCGCTGAAACTCATCCGGCTGCTATACCCCCAAACGTAAAAGATGATGCTCACTCTATCCAGGGCAGCTGTGCGGCGTATAAAACTCGACCTTAACCTCCAGCCCAAACCTCCCCTAGCCCTCACCCAACTCTAACCTCACCCCCACCCAATTCCAACTTCGCCCACTCCCACCCTTATCACCCATCAAAATCCACCACCGCCAAATTTTTATAGGGCACAGTAACCCAACTTTACCATATATCTGGGTCTCTGGCATGCGACATATCATTTTTCTCAGGATGACGAAAAAAATCTCATAAATTCATCCAAACTTTAAGGCCCCACCCACTGGGGGCGTGGTTTATGGCGCCTGTTTTAAGTAGAACAAGCCATGGCATGTGACATATCGTTTTTCTCAGGATGACGAAAGGAATCTTGTATATCCGTCCAAAATTTAAGGCTGCACCCAATGGGGTTGTGGCTTGTGGCGCCTATTTTAAATGTCGTATGTCGTATGTTGTATGTCGTATATTCTAGTCCGCTTGCTAGAATAGGTGTGAACCACGCCAACTAGGGAGTGCTAGGTAACCGTTTACCAGTTTTAAATAACCAGGGTGGTGTTGCACTCATCTGCCTAAGAACTACATTTTCCATTAAGAACCATTAATTTTTTAAATAATTGAATCAATTTCCCCGCTTGCATTGAATCTTTGTATATTTAAATTTGCACTTAAATTTAACGAGGTGAACACAGTCACCATTTTCGACCATTGACCTAAATCACTGTTATAAAGATATTGTCATAAATGTCATGTCGATTGTGTCAAGTTTGGGTTACTCCACCAGTTATGGCAATGGATCTGATGTCGAAAATCGATTTTCTTGAAGTCCTTGCATATGTGTTAAGGGACCTTAATATATGGCGGAAAATCATTATCCCCAAATTTTTAAAATTTCCTGAGGCGTGGTAGGAGGGGGAGTGGCTTTATGGAGATCCCGCTTTTACGCAGCCGCTATTGGACCTACGAGCTCCGAATTTCACATGAGCATACCTAGGGGCAATACAAAAACGGGACTTTTTCTCTTTTTCTAAATTAGGTCATGGTGACCGTTTTTAGGTCAAAATGCGCAGTGTGCCGATTTTTTGTAAATAGTCTCACATAACCCCATAAATGGGGGATCGTTAGAAAGGTCTCGGCAAGGGGTCTCAGAATATGTATACTTTCTGGGGACTGGGACCATCCCCTGAAAAGTTTGAGAAGGAGAAATGAGAATTAGCAATTTTCCAGAATTTAACACAGCAGTAGATTGGGAGCTCATATGGTAATACATGCACATAAACTCAAAAACATTCTTCTGCCTCTGGGACATCAGGGGGTGGTCCCAGACCCCACAAAGTATATATATTATGCATCCTCACGTCAATACCTTTTCAAGGATGCCCCACTTATGGGGTTATGTGAGACATTAATTTTTCAGAAAAATTTGACATACTGCGCAGTTTGACCTGAAAACGGTCTCCATGACCTAATTTCGAAAAAAGACAAAAAGTCCCGCTTTTGTATTTACCCAAGGTATGTTCTTGTGAAATTTGGAACCTGTAGGTGCAATAGTGGTTGAGTAAAAGTGGGATCTCTGTAATAGGCACGCCCCCCGAAATATTAAAAATTCGGGGATGGCGATTTTTATCCATAGTCTAAGGTCCCTTAACACATACTTCAAGGATTTCAAGAAAATCGATTTTCAACATCAGGTCCATTACCATAACTCGTGGAGTAACCCATATGTCATACTTGTCGTATTTGTCAGACATTTATCGATTATGTCAATGTCAGACATTTATGACAAATATGACACGACATGAACAATATAACATGACACGACATTTACTTCTTGACATTGTAGAACCCTACTCCAGATTCAAGCTCCATATTTGACAGATTTTCCAGCGCGTGGTTTTGTGGTCTAGTGGGTGTGGTCATATTTATATTAGATTAAATTTCAAATAAATCCAATAAGTAAACCTTACTTATAACTAATAACTAATTCCTATTTTGCAGGTGGTTATGATTGGGGCCTGGTAGAATTTTAAGGTAACCCTATTTGTCAAATTCCAGACAATTAGACTACCAAGATTTGAACGGTTGGTATGAGAGTGCAGAAAGGATATCGCAGAAGATCGCAAGGCAAATGTTAGTACTGGGCATGGACTATAAGATAATATGCCCACTTTCAAATTCAGGCTTGTTATGGCTTGTTATGGGGTAAT